CCTGGGTCCCTGAGCAGGCCTACAGCAGAGTCCATCCACTTCAAGTCCATCTACCCATTTCAGGCCCACTTTTGTAGGAGCCCTCCCAACTGCTAGCCAGTCCAGTTAATTCACTGCTTGTCCAACTTTCAAACTTCCCCAGATATTATTCTAAAGCTAGAATCTAGACTACTCCATTCCTCTCCTCCCAGTTTCTTTCTCAGTTTCTGGTAGATTCTCACAGAATTTCATTCAGAATTTCATCTCTTCATCTTAACAGTATATACCCTCCAACCCTTCTTACATTGTTCCAATAAGCCAGAGGCCATTCACCCTGGAGACATGCTGTGGATACAAATACAGCCTGGTGAGAGATCCACAACCCTCTCCCCCAGATTTTCAAGGGCCAAAAAGAGCTCACCAAACACTGCTGGAACATCACAGCTGTCCAAGGCACAGGAAAACACACTCCAGGGTGCCTTATCCTTCCCTATGAGCTCAAAATAGAGAAACATATTTCACACACTATTTCCTGAAGCCAGTCTCTCCTACCTGTAACTCTTGATAAGAGATTCCTCAACTTTCTAAATACAGAACCTTTTATTACCTCAAAATATTTTGAGGATCCTACAAAATAGTGGGTTGAATTTTTATTATCCAATGATCTAGAACAACTTCTATACAACTTTACAGACAATGCTTAGAGTATGAATCAACCAGCGAACACCCATAGTAACTGCACAGCCTACAGGTCAAGAACCACAGCTCTAGAACTCAACTTTTCAACGCTATCAGGGGACCTCAGTTTCACAATATTCCCTCCTCTGCTGGTACGCAAGCCTTCCTCCTCAACACAAACTTGGGGTCCTCTGCCTGCATATATGCAACTTCTCTAATGACTTCTTTACAGCCAAATACAATAAACTTCTTTCTGCAATATTAAACATGAATCACCTTCTACTCCTGCAGATTCTGTCCAAGTCAATACACTACTTTGGAACTCTTCTGCCTCTAATCACTGTTCTTTGGCCCCTTTTCCTGGAATTCTTACTTCTTTCAAACCCCATGGCAACAGTTCTCAACCTATTTATGACTCCATTCCCTGCTGGGTAAATGCCATCAATGATATCTCTCACAGTGCACTGATTCTCTACCAGCTGGCACTATTCCTCAACGAACGAGTACTGCTGGGGTGCCTGGCTGGCTCAGTCCATACGGCTTGGGGTTAAGTTCGAGTCCTACACTGGGTATAGAGATTCCTTAAAAAAAAAATTAATTAAAAAATAAAAAAGTACTGCCACATTACCTGGAACATTCCTCCCATAACTAGTCTCTGATTTTCTATTCAGTCCACTTGTAGTCCATAACATGGCAGTGAACAATGAACAAGAAATGCCTACAAACACACTTGTTGCATTTCTTGTGTTGCACCTGTGTATATTCACTGCTTCCCTCCAACCAGACAGCAACTCCTGGAAGGCAATTCCCTTATCTTAGTCATCTCTCTGAAGAACAAAGCACCAAGTATAAACCCATCACTTCAAATATCTTCTAATGCTTTCTATGTTCTTGAAATATACAGTCAAAATTTCCTAAACCACAGAAAGAGAACACTATTTTGCAGGATGCTAAACAGGGATAAGGTGAAAGAAATGTTCCATAATTAAAGGTTTAAGAAATACTGGGTTAAAGTTAACATGTTTATTTGTAGAACTGTCTAGAAACTCTAATCTCACTTAACTGTGAATCTCCAAAAGCAGAATTTCCCACACTTGTGTTATAAAACTCTTTCCCACCTTCTATTGCTCATAACCAGCACCTATTAACTTCTCCCTTTCCAGGGAACACAATTGAGGAAATATTTATTAAGCAATTAATTATTTTCTTTCACAACTACTTTATATCCAGTATGATTTCCAAGAATGTGTTAATAGTTTTGGTTTTATGATTTTTCCTAGCAGCCAGTCTCAGCACCCCTCAATTACCTCCAAAGCTATTAGACAGTATTATTACAAAAATCTTTTTAAGGATACATTTCAGGATACTCTTAAATTGTAAGCTCCCTTACTGCTTTTAAATATGGTCTCATTTATAAAAACTCCATTTCACCCGCTCTTTCAAGTACAATGTAGTCGCATTCAGAATGGCCCCACATTTGACATACCATCAAAGACTGTCCTATAATACAGCCTCTAACAAAATTAGTCTGCCCCAAGTCCCTGGTAATAGAACTGTTTACCTTTATGCCAAGGAGGTTGGAAAAGCACCAAAATGCACATGTGGCATGTGCCCAGGCCAACTTCGAGGCATTTGTGCTGTGAGCCCAGCAGTTCTTATGAGGCTGTCAACAACAACAACAAAAAAAAACCCACCCCAGCAGAGACCTCGGTGATTCCACGTGTGCTGTGTCAGTGACTGGATCAAGCATGCTGTACTTACTGAGGAGGAGAACAATGTTTTGAACGTGTTGAAGGAATACGCAGAGTCACAAAGCTAAATTTTAAAATGCAGCTTAAAAAATAAATAAATAAATAAATAAATAAATATGCAGTTTTGAGTAATAAAAAAAATCAAAAGAAAAAAACGAACGGTATAACCCTACATTTATTTAAAAAAAAAAAAAAAGTACAATCTGTTAAAAGCTGTGGGAGCTTAAGTGACCTGCCATTCTCTCACCAAAACAAAAGGTAATACAAATAAAAAGGACAAAGTGTATTCTAGAAAACCAAGAGGAAGATAAAATAAATTTGGAAAACAGGTACACTATTATTCTTCTCTGGGAGATTCACAACACTTAGTAGCCCACTAAAGGTTCCAAGAAACATGTCAAAAAAAAAAAAAAAAAAAAGCCAGTTCAACACTATTTAATCTACTGCTTCCCAAATTTACTTGACCATAGAACATTTTTTTTCCCTCCCAATTAACACTATTAACATCTCAGCATAAACTGGTAAAGTTTTATTATCTGATTGGAAAAAGCGTATCACAGAATTTTCTGCCTTCATTCTTCTGCTTCAATATTGTACAGTGTTGAGACAAAAGAACCTTTTTTAAAAACTTGGAATAGGCCGCAGGTAATCAGAAGGTAAACTTCTATGCGTCTGGGGATGGGTGAAAAAGGAGTTGGAGATTAAGGAGGGCACTTGTCCACAATGAGCACTGGGTGAGGTACAGAATCCCTGAATCACTATATTGTACACCTGAAACTAATACTAACACTGTAGGTTAACTCTACTGGAATTAAAATGAAAAAGAAGGTTTGTAAACTTCTAAATTTTCCTATCTAATCTCATTCCCCCTCACTTCCTCTGCCTAGAAATTTTATTTCAGTGATTGAGCTATGGGAAGAAAATAAATACAAAGTCTTATCCTTTTAACAGTTAAGTTTCAGAATCTACATTAAAAAGGAAATAAATTCTGAACTCTATTCCTGCAATCATGCAAAACTCTGTTCTGGGTTAAAGGCAGGACCTTGGAAATGTTTCAAAGACTAGTTCTTTATAACCGGTGTGTTTCCTCAGCAGTAAAACTCTATGGAATGGGGATGTTGGCTGTGTGAAAACTCCCTTATCTAGTCTCCACCCCAAAGCCTCACCCTTATCTGAACCTTTCTAAAGCAAATCTGATTTTTTTTCTTTTTTGATACTTTCTTTTCCAGAAACAAGAAGAAATGACCTGCAACCAGGAAGCCACATGCTTAACTAGGCACACACCTCTACATTCAGGAAAAGTTAATTACCAAATGAAGCATCCTGGGGATTAATCAGTTTGCAAATCCACTACTGCACAGCTACAAACTAAATAATGTGTTTTTCAAAACCACTCTACTAACCAGGCACAGCAAAAGTATAACTGATTCTAAAGTGAGTCCTAATCTAATAATTTCAGAAACTATTTATAGATGTTTCTGTTTTGAGGTTTTTTTTTTAATCTGCTCTAAATTTAAACCTGCTCCTCATTTTCAGAAGCTGAAATTACCATAAAATTAAGTACAGGAAAAATATACACCAATGAGTACGAGCCACCTCCTGCCAGGATATTCTTGCAAAAGGCTATGAAGAATAAGTTTCCCAGATAGCTTCAACTCTATTACAATCCTACTTTCCTTAAGAAAGCGTTCCTTCTTCCAGGTGTAACGTTAGCTGTAAATTTCAATAAAAGCGGTAAGAATATAACTCTTTTTACTGACAATAGCCAAGTAAATGCCTATTTTAGAGCTTATCAATCATTTCAGATATAATTATAACAATCCCCTTTACTAACAGTTTTAGGGAATATTAAAATTACCAAGTCCCAAAACATGGAATAAAAGGACCTATGTTTTTTAACTGCTCTTGGTAAAACGTTTATTAAATGTGAACCAACACTGTTCATAGGTGTTTTAAATGGGTGCACAGGCACGTGATAACGCATGTTACAGTCACTTTCGGGCCTCTCCCACCACAGGATTAGGTCTAGAGCCCATTCACCAAGTTACTGATTAGCAATGGTTTCTGTTGAGACAGGGGATGGCACTTAGTAAGATCATGTAGAATGCCACTGTCGTAGCTCTAGCTATACATAGTTCTGTTTCTATTGGGCCTGCCCGAAAGAAAGCAACTAAAAATAAGTATTTTTGAAAAGGTAAATCCTAGAAGAAAGGAAGATAAGTTCGAGTGATCTCACCTGATGTTCCACAGGTTGCCTCACTCACCTGACGGACTCTTTTGAAGGCAAGCCCCTCTACACCTCAGTTCCCTCGGCCCTCTCTCCCTTTCCAAGACAGATATCTACATTTCTGTTCCCTCCTCAACGCAAAACCGCCCCCAGTGCCCCCCCAGATCCACTCTAGAGCCCGCCCTCCTCCCAGGTACCCTCCTAGGTCCACCACCCCCATCCCGCTCGCAGAGGCCGGCCTCCGCACCCAGCACCCGCACTTCACACCCTCACACTCCGGCTCCCGCCAGCCTCCGGCCTCGGCGGCGACCGCACCGCACCCCAGCACAGCCCCGCAACACGCCCCCCGCCCGCAGCCCCCTTACCGCACATGATGCAGAAGGCACGGTCGGCTGGCGAGCAGCGAACGGCTGGCGAGGTCGGGAGCGCACACACGAGCGTCAGGGGCGAACGGCGAGATTGGGGGCCCGGGGCAAGCCAACACGACTCCCTCGCGGATGCGACGGCCGAAGCAACGACAGCCTTCTCGGCCTCCCGGGCTCGCCAGCAACTGCCGACGGGACCCGCCCCTCGGCGCGCAGCGCGCCGCCGCCGCCGCCTCCCGTGGATCCCATTGGGCCGTGTGCACGCCGCTCACACGCAGCTCCCGCCTCACCGTGCCGCCCCGCCCCGCCCTCGAGCCCACGCAGGCGCTGGCCTGCTGGCGGCGGAGACGTGGCACCAGCCAGCGGCCGCATCCGCTTGGGGTTCCTGGAGCCGCCCGGCCCCCGGGCGAGCAGCTGGAGGAACCACACGGTGGGGGAGGAAGAAACTCGGTGGCTGGCAGGGAAAGACGGAACGTTAAGGAAAGAGGATGATGGAATTGTCAGCAAAGCAAATAGCATTGGAGCACGCGCCCAATGCAACCCAAGGCCCCAGGCTCCGGCAGCCCACGAAGCGGCGGAAAAAGGAGGAAGAAAGCCGGAGGCCTGAAAAGGGGGATAAACAAGTCAGAATGGAAAGGGACATAAGACTAAAGAAAAATTGCAAAGAAAATTGAATGAGGTAGAGAGGAAAGTTACCAAATTCTTGATGCAAAGCTCCATTCAGGTTCATCCAGTCTTTCTGGTGACAGGGAGTTCAGTTCCGGACTTAAGCTCTGTGTAATATGCTTGGCCTCTAAACGCCCTCCGCACCCCACCCCAACCCCATTCATTGCCTTCCTAACCCCCAGTTTTTGGCAGAGGGGATGGGGGGGGGGGAGCGGAGGATGTAAAGCTCAATGATACAACACTGTGCTACTGGTCTTATGAAACTTCTGGCTCAGACTTCTGATGGCCCACTTGAGAAGACTAGGAATTGCCCAGATTTGACAGCCTTACGTTTGACTCACTGACGATTAATTCTGTAAATTAATGCACCACTCCTGCCAAGAGAGACTTAATCAGAGAGAGATGATGTTTCTGAGAATTTATTATCCAAGCATTTGCTCTAGGAAGATTTAAATGGTATCTTTAGTCAAATGTAGATGGTTATCATAACTATTAATGGCTCTAGATTAGGATCAAATAAAAACTTGATTGGCATACAGAATATGGCGTGGACTTCTGACCCTAGTTATCTGGTCTTACCTCACACGATTGCTCTCTTCCTACCCCACCTTCCAGCCCTTTACACTCCAAAGCTACAGTTTCCCTACTGCGCCAACATTCTCAAATATTTTGTACACATTAGTGACTCTTCCTGGAATCCCCACCCCATCTCTATTTAAATGCTACCTCTTGAGGAAAACCGATTTTTCTCCCCAGACAGACTTAAGGACATGGATTAACCTCTGTCTTTGAACTGCCCCCTTTAAATCAGTATACTTCTGACATTGTGTTTGTATGTGTGTATTTCCCTCCAAGGTTGTTTCTTGAGGCCAGATCAAGCCTTTGCATTCCCAGCACCTAGTAAAACCCTAGCACAAAATAACAGATCGAAATGTTTTTGAGGCTTGCTCAGTCAGTGAAGCATGTGACTCTTGATCTCAAGGTCATGGGTTTGGGCCCCACATTGGGGATAGAGAGTACTTTAAAAAATTAAAAAAAATCTTTAAAAAAAAATGTTTTTGAAGGAGTGAAAAAACCCATTCTGAAGGAGTGAAAAGAGTCATAGGAATTGACTTCCTATGACTGGTTATATGATCAAATGAATGAAGGAAGGGCTTTTCAGATATTCTTAGAGGGGAAAAAATGGCTTTTAATTACTTGTTTCAAAGAGAGGCTGGAAAAATGTTACATTTAACTAATCAAAGTGTTTATCACCTAAGAGCCCTTTAATATTTCAGGCCCCTAAGCCCCTAAATGACCCTAGAGCTAAAGTTAAAAACACAGTTAAAAATTTAAAAATAGCTGTTTGTTAATAGACAACACATTTCTTAGTTGAAGAGGCAAAAGACTGTGGATATACATCTTAGCCTCAGAACCCTCATCTAAGAGTTTCTAGTAAGATCACAGTGATATTGCCAAGGAATCAAGGTAACAAAGAGAATAGAAAAGCAAGGGATTCAATGGTATTTTAGTTTGAGCATGAGAACATTGGTACCACTGCTGGCACTTTCTTTGTGGCACCATCAGGTTTGCTAGCAGTGCACAAATGTGTTGTTCAAACACTGGGATCATACTTTGACTCCTTGGTGCATGGGTTCCTCATATTTTTAGATATGCCAACTGGAAGCCCAATGGCCTTCTGCCCAGCAGGATGTATGGCAAGGAGGAGGTTGTGAAAAACTTTGAAAGTCAATATTTTCCCAACCCAATGGAACAAAGAGCCCTTCATAACTATGCTCCAGTCAAGACACTAATATGAAAGAACTGTTTGTCTGACCCCCATCTCTATAGAGCTTTGCCTTAGCTGGACCTTTGTGAATAGGGGCTGGAGAAGAAAATAAATGATCTGTGAAGGAAAGGGGACATCTGGATCTAATTAAAACATCTGAAGAAATGGAAAGGATTTTCTCTCTTCATCAAAAGTTCTGAACTAACTGAACTTCCAAAAAAAAAAAAAAAAGAATGATGGTAAGGAGGGTGTCAGTCATCATCTCTTTATGTAAGTTCATTTCTCTGTTCATAGATTTGTCCTGTTAAACCTGATGGCTCTCAGTCTCCTCCATGCTATACAGCCTGATGCACAGAAGGCCATTAGGGTTTCCAGCTACCATTTCTAAAAAAAGGAAGAACCATAATTAAAATAGCGTTATAAGATTTTTAAATTGGGGTGCAGTGGGGTGGCACCTGGGTGCCTCAGTTGGTTGAGCCTCAGATTCTCGGTTTTGGCTCAGGCTGTGATCTCATGAGTCATGAGATCAAGCCCCACATGGGACTCCCCACTTATGGGATAGTCTGCTTAAAGTTTCTCTCCCTCTGCCCCTCACCCCACTTCTGTGTGCACTGTGCACACTTTCTGTCTTTCTCAAGTAAATGGATAGAATCTTTTTAAAAAAATTTTTTAAATGTCATGTTTGTGATTTTTGTTACCCCTTACCTGAATTCCAATAGCAAATAGCAACAAAATTATTACAATAAAAAATGCCTAGATAAAACTTTCAGTTATAAGTCCTGGGAATGTAATGAACAGGATGGTAATAGTTAATAATACTGCACTGTATATTAGAAAGTTGCTAAGAGAGTAGATCTTAAAAAGTTTTTACCAAAAGAAAAAAAGTTGTGACTATGTTTGGTGATGAGTGTAAACAAGACTTATTGTGGTGATTGTTATGCAATATATAGATATATACCAAATCATTCTGTTGTACACCTGAAACTAATATAATGTTACATGTCCATTATATTTCAATTAAAAAAGAAAGGCATAACAAGAATATGGGAAGCAGGGAGACAAATGTCCCAATTTAGGGAGTTTTGTGGAGAAGTGTACCCCAATGGACAGAGAAGATTGTGGTTAAGTATCAAAGGAAGAAGAAACAGATGGAGCTATCAAGGCTTATGAGATGGAAGAAATGAACGCAAGAATAAAAGGCACCAGTCAGGGCCTCATAAAGTCTCCTTCATTGAACCCCTTTGGTTCCACCACCATCCACCATCCCAGTTCATCCTATAGACCTTAACGCCAAAGTGACCTTCCAAAACACAAATCTGATTCTGTTCTCCCTGCTTCCAATTCAGTGGGTACCCTTCACCTGCAGGATTAAGTCCAGACTCCTCTGTACAGACATAGTTACTCAGGATTTCATTCCTGCCAGTCTTATCAGCATCATTTTCCGCCACTCTACTCAAGCAATCATCTTATGGTCTAGCTATACTGAACTAGTTCCCTAAGAATGGACTACAATGCTTTTCCATCTTTGCCTATGCTTTTTTTTGAAAGGAAGCATTAAAAAGGTAACCAGATGTTAGTTAGGACATAACTATAGAGAACTAGTCACAAAATGGGTTTGTAAGGGGACCACAAAATTCCCTTGTCCAAAATTACCTCCACTCCTTACCTATCACATTGCCTAAACTTGTCTCTGGATTTCTGTATTTAAAGCAGAGCACCTCCCTTTCCCCCAGGAAGTCTACAGTAAGTCATTATCATCTATTAATACTTTACAGTGACATTTAATATAATTTTCATTTGGATATTGGGTATGAAAAGGTCACTGAGGAAATGAAAGTTTTGATGTGGATGAAGCTGTTTCTGAAATCAGAAAGAAGCCAGATCTGGACAGATCACCTTGGTTGATGACACTTGTCAAAAAAGGGACAACATAAGGACATGTGAAATTGAGTATGATAATGCAAAGAGAGGGTACCAAGATATGGAAGAAGGAATCAGAAATAAGTTGGTAATGAAAGCAAACTCTGCCCTTCATAATGCATAATTTTATGTATCAACTTGGCTGAGCCACAGTGCCCAGATATTTGGTCAAACAGTGTTTTGGATGTTTATGTGAGTTACTTTTGGATGGGATTAATATTTCTTTATTTTTTTTAAAGATTTTATTTATTTATTTGACAGAGAGAGATAGATCATGAGTAGGCAGAGAGGCAGGCAGAGAGAGAAAGGGGGAAACAGGCTCCCGGCTGAGCAGAGAGCCTGTTGTGGGGCTCAATCCCAGGACCCTGAGACCATGACCTGAGCTGAAGGCAGAGGCTTAACCCACTGAACCACCCAGGCACCCCTAGGAGATTAATATTTAAATCAGTGGATTGCTCTTTATAATGTAGGTGGGCCTCACCCAATTAGTTGAAGACCTAATAGAACAAAAGACTGACCTCCCTGGAGCATGAAGGAATTAGGCAGCAGACAGTCTTTGGACTTCAACTGCAACATTGGCTCTCCACTGGTGTCCAGTCTGACAGCCCACCCTGAAGATTTTGGACTTGCCAGCCTCCATAATTACATGAGCCAATTCCCTGAAATAAATATATAAATAATAGGTAGAGAGGTAAGTAGATAGATACAATTTGTTTTGTTTCTCTGGAGAACCCTAATACATCTACTTAATGTTGATCCTACTGATTTTTTCAATGCTGAATATATGAATTTGTTTTAAATTTCTTAAGGATAGAGCTTTTAATGACAAAGAATAGAAATTCACTCAAAGTAGCTAAAGAGGAGATTTATTGGCTAATGTAATTGGAAAGGACAGGGATATAGCTTCAGGCACACCGGTATCCAGGACACAAACAGTGTTGTCAGAACTCCCTTTGATTCTCTCTCCTTGACCTTATGCACAGGTCAATGACCCTCAAACAGCTCTGGAATCATATCTTTATAGTTTGCAGTCCAAGGGGAGAGAGGCTATTTCCCCATCCTTACTTTTCATAATCAAGGCAAGGATTCTGATGCGTCCAATGCAGATTCCTATGGCCCACTCACTCCTGTTGCAGAAGGCAGGACACTGTGGTTAGACAATTCCACCAGTACCACATAGAGTCACCAGAGGCTCAGAGTCAGCAAGAGAGCCAACATTTCCCCAGCCCCCCGTAGAGTCCTTTTCCTCAAAGGAAAGGGGAAGGTGTTGCTCATGAAAATGCAGGGACACCTGTAATACACAAACAAAAGATGCCCACCACATCAGATGAACACAGCCTTGACTGCCCCACCAGGAAACCTCATGCTTAAGAACAAAGGATGCAGACTCCAACTAGAATAGTATATTCCCCTATAGTCCTCTCTGGGGTGCATCCAAATTTTCCCAGTAGGCAGAACCTGGGACAGTTTTCTAGCTCTGCTAGAAGGAAATTCACTTTACTGCCAAGAAATTGTCCACACATAGGAAACCATGAGAGTAACTGGTCCTATCTAATATTTCTGTTCTGTAGGATGTGATCAGAGTTGGAATGGAAGCAGACCATTCGTGGAGCTGCCTAGAGCTGAAAGATCACTGAAAATGTAAGGTAACAGGGAAAAAAAAAATACTATTCCCTAGTTTCTTTCAGGGGATACAAAGGCATAGCCTACAAGCACTCTGTCAAGATTGCAACTCTGCTGTGGGGAAATCAGAGTATAAAGCTGGGTTTTCCCAAAGGGATGTAAATTCCCACTGGACTGAAGAGCAGCTAGCTTTCTGACAAAAGGGTTGGGGGGCAGGGGAGACACACATGCACAGACCACTGCTTTGGCCCCGTAGAGTCAGGAGCAAATAAAAGATGGAAAAGACTTTGGCCCACTAGAAAGCAGCACCTATGAGGGCAAGGAACGCTCTCTCCCCCATCGGGTAAAAATACTCAGGAGTGGTATGTGGGTCCAGTCCCCTTAAGACAAAATAGTAGTATTGTAGCAATGTGCATAAGGTCTGCAGCCAGAATGCCAGGGTTCATATTCCTGGCTTTTCCACTGAAGTTGTATGGCAATGGAAAATGTACTTCTCCCTGTGCCTCATGGGGACAATAATAGTTACCGATCTCACAGGATTAAATGACTTCATAAATGTAAGGTGCTTAGAATAGTGTTTGTCACATAGTGAATGCCAACAAAAGTTTGCTATTTTTAAATATTTTGCTCCTTGTCATTCTGGATAATGCTTCATCCTAATTCTCATTAGCAAAAAATCCTCCAAGTGCTTGGCTGACTCTTAGTCAATAATCTCAGTTTCAAATACCTATTGAAATGTCCCATGTTTATAAAGTGTTTTCCATAATACTTGCAAGATTTTATACATTTGGGGGGGGCTAATTTTTGTTTTCACCAAACACAACTAATATGAATGATTACTTCCCCTTTATGTGAAACATATAGGAGAAATTAAGTATAGTTTAAAAATTCAAAAGTAAAACCATTTATCTGATTAAACCATACCTTCTAAATTAATCTTTGATTGAAAAAATGGCTCAATTAATTTAAAAATATATTATTTTCATTTTAAGATTGGTATTTCGCACTGTCGGCCACAAATAAGAAAAAGCAGTAAAATAAACGTACCAACTCCTCCATGATTTACCAAGGCTGTTAGAAAGCAATCAGCTTCAAGTGACAATACCTGCCAACAGTAGACATTCGTAACAAGAAAACCTCTTATCTCACATGATACTCTGAAAATGGGTGGTTCCCAGGCTATCTCAAAAGTCAATAATGTCCTCAAGGATCCAGGCCTTGTTTCCTTCCTCTTTGCCATTCTCAGTGGACTGGCTTTTCATCATGGTTTTAAATGGACTGTCATAGCCTTAGACATTAAGTTTCCATTCTACAGCATACCCAACAGGAAAGAAAGGAATTGAGGGGAAAAGAGCCTTCTTTACATAGATTAACTCTCTCTCTTAATCAGGGAAGAAAATCTTTTAAATTAAAACACTCTAGTAGAGCCTCTCTTACAGCTGGTTGGCCAGAGCTGGGTTACATGTCCCCACCTAAACTAACTGGCAAAGAGAAAAGGAGTTAAAATGACTGGCTTACATTAGTTAGAATTTATCCCCTGAGGGATACCTTCCCTGGTCACATCACAAATGATAATTAACAGGGTGCCAGGTAGCTCAGTCAGTTCATAACCCAGGGGTTCTGGGATCAAGCCCTGCCTTAGGCTCCTTGCTTGGCAGGGAGTCTGCTTCTCCCTCTCCCTCTGCTCCTCTCCCGCCTTGTGTTTTCTCTCTCTCAAACAAATAAAATCCTAAAAAACAAAAACAAATGGTAATTGAAAGGGCCTCTCTCAGTAAGAAGCAGGGGTATATATATGCTGGGTAGGCAGCCACTAGTTTCTGTAGCACTGTTCGGCTCACTGTTTGCTTCTGTCCCATTTCCAGGTAAGGACTTTTACTTTACACAGGCTTCTTGCAGTCCCCAAATACATACACATACATAGCTTCTAGATTCTGTTTACACTGCTCTGTATGCCTAGAAAGGTCTTCCTAACCCTTCCTCTCTGCTCCTCATGGCTGCTCCCTTTCGCAGAAAATCTTGCTCATACCTTGGCCGCTCAGTTCCATGATTTCCCCTCCTCCAGTAATCTAATTCATCCCCCACTTCAGCAACTTATTTCATGGCCATCCATGAAGGCTTGTCATTAACTGCATCTCCTCCACAGTCTCAATTTCCTGTAGCTTTTTTTAAAAAATTAATTTATTTATTTAACAGAGACCACAAGTAGGCAGAGACCACAAGAGAGGCAGGCAGAGAGAGAGGAAGGGAAGCAGGCTTCCCACTGAGCAGAGAGCCTGATGCGGGGCTCTACCCCAGGACCCTGAGACCATGACCTGAGCTGAAGGCAGAGGCTTTAACCCACTGAGCCACCCAGGCGCCCCCCACTTTTTTTCCTATAGCTTAAGGGCAGGTCAATGCGTCTAGTCTACAAAGCAATTCCCAGAGTCTGACCTGAATTCATCTATAATAGCTTAGGGAACAAATTCTCCCAACCCCACTGTCAGGGCTATGAACCAAAGGACAAACATATAAACTTTAAATTCCAGCATTCATAGATCATGGAATTCTTCCTGTTTCCATCCTTTTTTTTTTTTTAATTTATTTGAAAGGAAGAGCAGAGTGAAAGAGAGAGTGCACAGAAATTGGGGTGAGGGGTAGAGGGAGAGGGACAAGCAAACTCTGAGCTCAGCAGGGACCCCAATGTGGGGCTTGATCCCAGGACCCTGAGATCATGACCTGAGCCAAAGGCAGATGCTTAACCCACTGAGCCACCCAGGCGCCCCTCCATCTCTATCTTAGTATGGATACTTTTAGGAACCAGAATTCCAGAAATACAATATACCACTGCTATTTCTTTCTTATCCTGATATCGTCTGTGAACTAATGTCTCTGAAATATTATAGAAAATGAGAGAGAAGGGTAATTTACTATGTTGGGTATCTGAAAAAGCAGTACCTCTATGGCAGAAAAATAACTCACCAAATTTCTGGCATGGAACAGATTATAAATCTCTGAGTCAGGAGAATCCAGTGGAAGAAGAACCAAAGCAGTTTTTCATCTTTTTTTTTTTTTTTTTCCCAGAGACTCTGCTTCACAAAATAAAGCCTGAGTATGCTAAGACAGCTCTTCCCTCAATTCAGCCTGCTGTGTCTTCTACCAATGGAAATTCTGCCTACATTCTGGAACTTGGTTCTTCATTAGTTTTCAGCATGACTACTTTTTTTTTTTTTTTAAGCCAGATCTGTTTTTCTTTTTTCTTTTTTTTTTTTAAGGGGGCAGAAAAGAGGCAGAAAGAGAGAGAGAGAGAAAATCTTAAGTAGGCTCCAGGTCCAATGCAGAGACCAAAGTGGGGCTCATTCTCACAACCTGAGACCATGACTTGAGTCGAAATCAAGAGTCAGAGACTTAACCTACTGAGCCACCCAGGCACCCCCAGGCAGATACCACTTTTAAGCCAGAATTGTTTAGTGTTTTTTTTTTTAAACAACATAAAAATCCAGTAAAGATGCCTTTGGCTCAAGTCATGGTCCTATAGTCCTGGGATCGAGTCCCACATCAGGCTCCCAGCTCTGCAGGGAGTCTGCTTCTCCCTCTGACCTTCTCCCCTCTCATGCTCTCTCTCTCTCTCCAAAAAAAAAAAAAAAAAAAATCCAGTAAAGAGTCTCAAATATTTCACAAAAAGCTAAGCCATTTTAGAGTAATTTTATAAGTATTCTCCTTATTTACTTCTGTATAAAAAAAAAAGGAAACAAATTAGATGGTGGAAAATGAACTGCTTCACACATTATGCAAAGGAACCATAAGAAATAAAGAACTAACATTAAAATATCCCTGGATAAAATCCACGTGTACAGAAGATGATTCAAGATGTTATAAATAACTCATATGAGGTAAAGCAAACATGCAATATTTATATATCAGTCTGAAAAAAGGGCATATTTTATTAATCCTCAAGTTCCTTAGCAGATTAATAATAAAAGCTTGGTATAATTATCAATAAGTCCAACTGCTGGGCCCCAAGAAAATGCTAATTATTTTAAGGTGAGTTAGCTTCTTTTTCATCTGATTCATCATCCATAACCTAAAACCAAGAAAAGAAAAAGAGAATATAAGAATTAAGAAAAGGATTAGAAATTGCTATTTTCCTGATTATACCATTACTTGCTTACCTGAAATACTCCACTCTATAATAATGCGTGTCAGTCCAATAAAAGTAAGTCTATCAACAGCCCCCAAAGCACAAGTTTGTCTCATAAACTGGTATCATAACAACATAAAAGCAAATTTAATATTAGCAAATTAATTAAGCACTGGTCTTTTTAAAAGATTTATTGAGGAAGAGAGCATGCGTGGGGGGGGGTGAGGAAGAGAGAGTAGGGAGAGGGCAGAGGGAGAGAATCTCAAACAGACTCCCAGCTGAGAGTGGAGCCCATGCTAGGTTCCATCTCAAGACTCTGAGATAAGGCTTAAGCTAAAACCAAGAGTTGGACGCTTAACCAACTTCACCACCCAGATGTCCCAAGATTAGTATCTTTTCATGAGTTAATATATTACTCAGGAAATAAAGAGTTGTCCTTTGGAGAGGAAAAGAGTTATATAAACTCAAGAATTTTTTTTTCAACACACCTACTACAATTAAACACCAATTCAAGTTTATAACCTGACTGCCAATTCATCACCCCACCCTGGATAAGTGAACACATGTTCCTTTGTTCAATCCACCAAAGTGTCAAGTAATGCCAATTCTTTAAAGAGGCATATAAGGCATAGAGAAAATAATGAAACAAAAATAAGTTTGTTTCTTTAAATCTAGAAGAATTTGGTTCTGATCTGAGACTATCATGGAAAAACAATTCATATTTTCTGTCTTGAATTGAGTAAAAATGGGTATTTACTTCTAAGGAATTGACACATTATAATAATCTTAGCAATACACAATCCAAAGAGTTTCATCCATCAATTCCCATTTTAGGCAGCACATTCCTAAATTTGGAAACCTTCTTCCAAATACTTATTTAATACAAAGAATGTACACAACATGTACAACACACAGGGCTAAGTGTTGGAGAAGAACATAAAGACCTGGATATGATGACAAGTCTCTCAAGGAACTTGCCCATAAACATAAATCTGAAACAGACCCACAGGAAGAGGCTTTGGACAAAAGCAGAGCCCAAGTCCAAGGATAGGACCAATATGGCCTTCAAAGAGCAGATGCCATGTATTATACCGAAAGGACGGATTATCATACTATTCAGAGATGAGTGGTTCTCAAAGGAGCTGAGGAGATGCCCTCTCCTCAAAGGCAGAGGGACCTGAAGAGTTTTTTCAAATTTCCAATTTCCATACATTGTTTTCCTCCTTGATAATCTCTTTCCATAAGGCCAAGCCTCTTGGTTGAGAACTGTGGCAGTATGGCCACTATTACTACTGAGAAGTTTCTGTGCTATTCCTGAGGTGCTCTGGGGCAGAAAAAATGCTATCAGGCTAGAACTCCATTTAGTCCTCTGTCTTACTGTACAACAAAGTATGATTTCTCAATGAGGTTTTTGCCTGGATAAATCTGATGCATAAATATGATGGAGCTCTTCCACTGAGGACTTCCAACTCTCAGCTATAACATCCATGTTTTGAATCCCCTTTTCAAAATTTTTCTATAACCAGAGCAGCAGCAAGACCTCTAGTCTCCATTTCCTTACATACAAAATGGGAATGCCTTACTCAATACTGTGTTGTAAGAAGATTAAAGGAACAGTATTTGTAAAAAGGCCTGGCAAATAGATAGGTATTCATAACACTAAAGTGAATTCTAAAATAAGGAGTCTTCAAGTCTAATAACAACTGTAACACAGAGATCCAGCCCTTCAAGAATATGTCAGGTCATAAATTTCTTTCTTCCCCCAAATATTTAATTTAATATTGAATCTCGACTGTTATGTAATATTGGCATACCTGTTCTACACCCTCTACTTCTGGAATATAAAACTGCAGCATGTTCTGAATTCCATTTTTAAGAGTAATGATTGAACTGGGGCAGCTGGTACAAGAACCTTGGAGTTTGAGCTGTACGATGCCATCTTCAAAGCCTTTATAGATCACATCTCCTCCGTCTTCCTGCACAGTCGGCCTGTGGTCACAGAATATTTGTGATATATGTAAAAGAACTGAAGCATCCACCAAAAAAACTTAAAACAACTCAGGGGTTAGATTTTTGTATTGGTAAAATTCACAAAGTTGGAGCTACTTATACAATAGGGAAGGGAAATGTAGCTAGTCTCATTTGCAATCTTTTTAAAAGTTTCAGGTAAAATGTGCAAATTCATTCATACAAATCTTTGCTCCACTTATTATATTTTAATCCTGCTTATTAATAATCTTGTTAGGCATTTAAGATCTCAAATGTCCTAATAATTACAATTACCTAAGATAATACTCACTCATTTCTTTTGAATGAACAGACACTGACTGACATGATACATGCTGGCTTTTTTTTGCCAGATAAACTTTGCATCAAAATATAACATTAATACAGAAAAATGCATGAATCATGTATGATCAATTACACAAATTTTTACAAAGTGAACACACATTTGTCTCAGGCCAAGACACAAAGCTAGCACCCCCAGAAGTCCCCCTTGTGCTTCCCGGCAACCAAAGGTAACCATTTCCTAATTACTATTACCATTGATTAGGTCTGTTTTGTAACTTTACAATTATAAATAGGCATTCCATTTAAAAAACATAGGATTTCCTCTTTTGTATTTGTCTTATTTTGCTCTTAATGAGATTCTTCCACATCATCACACAGTGTTTCATTAAGTGAAAATGCCAGAATTTATCCCTGCTGTTGTGGACAGATATTTGGGTGAAAATCAGTTTTTGGTTTTTACAAACAGTGCGGTTATGAAGACTCTTGCAGATGTCTTTTGGCATACATATACAGGGCCACTGGGAATACACCTGAGCACGAAATTGCTGGATCAAGAATGTACGTATACTCACATTTAGTAGATACAAACAGTTGCCCTTTGCCCAGGTTCTCATACCCTAGCCTCACACTGAGAATCAGCAAAATGACCCATGGGAAACCTTCATGAGCTTCCCTTCTCTATAGGATGTTGTGTGCTTTGGCAGCTCTCTACCGTTTTCGAATGAAAAAAAACATTTTATTATATTTTATTGTATTTCTGTGAGTTCTCACCAGGTCTGCTATAAGCAAAAGTGGAAGCCTGCAATTCTTCGCTCATTTAAATTTCTTCCTTATGGGCAATAGTCTGAAAGAAAGTATTTCTCTTCTCACAATCCACCCAAACACTGTTTAACTCATTTTTTCATTTTAAGAAATTAGGTACTATAACAATATCAAACCTAGACTGTGACTGTGAGAGATAAATTCCCTCACTATGTTTAGACAGATTGTCTTAAAAATTTTGGAGTGCATATACAGAATGTAAATTCAGCTGCCATGGTTACCTATTACAGTTTACATTTACTTCTACTTATTTATTAGAGGTTTTTTGTTTTTTTTCCCCTCACAGACAGCTAAAAGTATATTGCTATAACGGAAATTGCCTCTGCACCATATTTGATTTCGGGCAGAATGATGAGCACATACCGTATTCTAGTATCTAACAATTCCTTAATCATTGCCACAACTTCATCATCTTCTTCAGATCCTATTAACAATTACAAATAAAATATATCAATGATAGAAAGTTTATATCCGTGCAAATAAAAGTATTAAAAAGGATGATTTTAACTTAAAGTCTCATTAAAAAAATAATAAAAGCATACACATCTAACTTGGTATGGTGATAAAAGGGAAATGGAAATGATAGTTGGAGAGATGGAAAGACCATTCGATTCTCTGAAGAAAAACTTTTTAAAAAAGATTTGAGAGAGGAAGAGAAAACACATGCATACGCAGGAGAGAGGGGAAGAGAGAGAGGGAAAGAGTCTCAAGCAGACTCCCCACTGACTGTGGAGCCCAGTGTGGGGCTCAATCCCATGATCCTGAGATCATGACCTGAGCCAAAGCCAAGAGCCTGGCGTTCAACCAACTGTGCCACCCAGGTGGCCCTTGATTCTCTGAAGAAAAATTAAGGAGCACTGGCCAACTCAACACTTGGTGATAACTTGATCTACTAATAATGTTAGGGTTTGAATTTTTTTGGTTTGTAAACTTTCATCATCCTCAAGGATTGAGAAGTGGCAGAGAAAATAGATTGCCTAGATTCTGAGGGAAAGTCTGAGACACAAAGGTACACCTACTTCATAAGTTAAATTATATTTTTAATTTTTCAATATAGAGGTTTTCAAAATGACATCCATACTAAATATAGATATAAGCCTTATGGAAATTTCCAAAATATTCTACAAATCTGAAGAAAAATATAAGTTTTTCATTTTGTGTCATTTTTGCTTTTCTTTTACTTTGTAAGGTTATATACTGATCTCTACCAATACCTTTTTGTGGGTTTAAAAATTTTTTTGAGAAATTTACCTTTAGGAAAATGAAAAATATAGATAATTCAAATTATACTATAATACACACTCTAAAGTTCTGGCAACAATGTAAGAATTACCAATATCAAATTATATTAACTTTGAGACATTTTTAATAAAAGAAAATATAATAAAACAAAGGTTCTCTTATGTTGGGGTGCCTGGGTGGCCCAGTCAGTTGAGCATCAGACTCTTGGTTTCAGCTCAGGTCATGATATCATGGGTCACATCATGCTTCACACTCAGCATGGAGTCTGCTTGAAGATTCTTGCCCTATGCCCTTCCCCCACACGAGTGTGCATGCTCTTTCTCTAAAACAAATAAATCTTTAAAAAAAAAAAATACTACCTAGTACTTAAACTAGAATGACACTTTTTTCAAAATGGCTATATTTCAAAATATGTTCAGTGAAAAAAGGCAAGTTGCATATAATGCACATTAAAGTTTAAAAAACCCATACCATATATTCCCCACAGAGACTTACACATGTAGTAAAAGTTTAAAAACAAGCCAGGTTTATATACATCTCTGGAAATAGAAAGGGGGAAAGCAATGGATGGGGGCTATGAGGTTTTGGTTTTATCTTTAATGTCGTGGACTTTTTTTTTTTGAGTAAAACAATAGAAGTTTATTAAGTGAAGACACTGAAAAAGCTCTCAAGAGTGAGAGGGGTCTCAACAGGGCTGCCCTGTGTCTTTAATGTTTTATTTAAAAATGGGTCTCAAACAATTATGGGAAATATTAACATCTGTTAAATTTGAGAGGAGAGCAAATTGGCATACATATTATTTTCTATATGTTTAAAAATTTTTATAATTGAAAAATTCAATTTTGTATAATATAGTCAATTTATGCAGAAGTTTTCAAAAATGATGAATAAAACTAATATATGTGAAGTTTTGTTCCCTCTGGAATTGGTTCCAGATCTAAACATGGTACAATGATAAAAATCTACTATCATGACTTCCAAAATCAAAACAAATGTGAAGAAAGTAGAAAAAATTTTTTTTTACTTAAAATAAATATTAATTACCCAACATAGTACCTGCTTCTCCTGAAGATGTTTCCTCAGTAACTAAGGGTAAGCCAGAAGCAAAGAAATCCATGATTGTTGCATAAATATCTGGTTTCAGTAAATTCCAGTCTAACTCTTCACTTTCCTGTAAATATTTAAAGGAAAATCCTACATTTCTAATCAAGAGCAAGGACTAATACAAAACAATACTTCGTATCTTTTAAGAATCTTTTCCTATATATATCCTATACTGTGTAACAACAGCACTCATTTTTGGAGAAGACTTGTCAATTCAGTCCTTAATAGATCTGTTTATAAGGACTTTTGGAAGATATAATCTTATAATATTCTTCATCCATTCATTCATTACACTTATGTTAAATGGGCTGTATGTACCATGCTTTGTTTAGGGGATACCACAATGATTAAAAGATACTTTTTCATGAGGTGAAGAGAGTTAAAATACTGAATGAATTTTGTGTTTAAGGAGAATAATAAAGAGATTTCCTATTCTTTTAAATAAAATAGGATAGAGTTGCTTGATCAAATATACAGGATATCCCACAAGCAACCAAAAAATTCAACTCACATATACTACCTCAGAATACTGAAGAAATCCAATGACACAACTGTAGAGCCAAAACATGTAACATGTCTTATCTATGGTGTTGTGCTAGAAGACTTATGGACATCCAACAAGCCCAGTATCCTTAAGAAAGAATCCCTAACTATGTAACCTCTATGTCTGGCCAACTAGTTGATTCCATTAAAAAAAAAGACACAATGATTAAATACCTAAATAGTACTAACATCCAAAAAGAGAAAGGGAACATGTTTTCTTTTAGTTTCTTAAAGGAGAGCTCTTGGGGCACCTGGGTGGCTCAGTGGGTTAAAGCCTCTGCTTTCGGCTCAGGTCATGATCCCAGGATCTTGGGATCGAGCCCCACATCGGGCTCTCTGCTCAGTGGGGAGTCTGCTTCTCCCTCTCCCACTCCCCCTGCTTGTATTCCCTCTCTTGCTAACTTTCTGTCAAATAAATAAATAAAATCTTTAAAAAAAAAAAAAAAAGAACAAAGGAGAGCTCTTTAGGAGGAAAAACTATTAGATGTGGTCAGTCCATTTAGATTCTCAGGAGGCTGTTAGCTAGTGGCTATGCTTAAATACTATTAAAAATGAATCTACATGCATAAAAGGGGCTATTTTTGTCATGGATTAAGAACCAATTTAGGGGTTCTGGGTGGCTCAGTTGGTTGAGTGTCTGACTCTTGATTTCAGCTCAGGTCATGATCTTCTGGTCCTGGGATCATGCCCTGCATCAGGCTCCTTGCCCAGAGTGGAGTCTGCCTGAGAGTCTCTCTCTGCTCACACGTACCCTCTAATTAGTAAAATCTTAAAAAAAAAAAGCTAATTTAGACATGGTATACAGAAGACAAGATACATGGGCATTGCTATGGATACAAGGGCGAAACTAGTGAGTTGCCTTAGTGACTGGGAACTGGTTCTGGGAAACATTTTAATAACTTATTTGGAAGGCAGATCAGAGGGCTACTTCAGATCTTCAGTAAATAGTGGACTCTACCGAGTAGGGAAATACTGGTAATAAAAAATATATATATTCTGAAGTAGTCTGAATGAGAAAAAAAAGGCAGTACATAAGCTTCAAATACATTTACTCATTTAGAAAAAAATAACAGGGGTGGCTGGCTGGCTCAGTCAGTAGAGCATGTGACTCTTGATCCTGGGGTCATGAGTTCAAGCCCCACATTGGGCACAGAACTTACTTTAAAAAAAATATTGGAATTGTCAAAGTTATTTCAAAGGACAGAAGAACAGAAAATCATCCGTATTCTACTAAAGAAATAAATTATTCATTTTAAATAACAAATTATGGATAAAAAGTCTCTGAATCATCAATTAGCAATCAGAAAAGGAAACAGGCAATAGCTAAAGATATCGGTAGATGAGAAAGTCCATAAGAAAAGTAACTGTTGGCGCCTGGGTGGCTCAGTGGGTTAAGCCGCTGCCTTCGGCTCAGGTCATGATCCCAGGGTCCTGGGATCGAGTCCTGCATCGGGCTCTCTGCTCAGCAGGGAGCCTGTTTCCCTCTCTCTCTCTCTCTGCCTGCCTCTCTGTCTACTTGTGATCTCTCCCTGTCAAGTAAATAAATAAAATCTTAAAAAGAAAAAAAGAAAAGTAACTGAAAGAAAACAAATCCACCCATTAAATTTCAATATATGCTCTTGGACTATTATTAATTAATTATGTCATTTCACTTAAGAAAAAATAGTGGGGCTGGAGAAATTCCAAAAGAAGTAATCAAATTAGAACAAGAAAGAAAATAAAAGATGACTTACCAAAATCAAATAAAAAAAAAACCCAACTCTATAAGATATAATCACATTTTCAACTAAAAAAATTTTTTTAAATGCCACAGGCTATATATAAAAGAACTAAAAAAAAAAACCTTGTTAAAATAAATACATAATTTGCCATTTATAAAATGAAGACAAGAATACCTAGTTTAAATAATTAAATTAGGTAATATACATAAAGCACTTCTGCTATGTAAATTCCATACCAGACACTTGGAAACGTTAAACAAGAGGTGGTCATCCCCAACCCTCAAAAAATATAAAAGAAAGCAAACTGAAGAATACCAAAGATAGGTCAGATGTCTCTAAACTGGTAAACATGTGGGATAGGTCAGCATGGATTTACTCACCACAATTCTTTTGGCAGAAACCCCTTAAAGCCTGAAAATTCAATCTATGAAATCCTATGTCATTGTTCCCTTCCATAAACATTTTTTTAAGTGAACACCATGTGCTAGGCATTGTTCTAGGTGAACTTAACAAGGCAGGCAATCTCTAGCTTTACAGAGCTTACATTCCAATGTAGGAAAGGCACATAGTAAAAATAAACTTAAAAAAAAAAAAAAAAAGCGACTAAGTGATAAGTGCCACAAAGACGATACAGGGTGAGCTCCTGGAGGGAGAGCCATTTCAACTGATAGGAGCAAGAATGGGCTTTGTGAGAATTTAGACCCAATAACACTTGAAACCACAGGGAAAAACCTTTTACAATTAGGATATTTGCAAGAACAACTATGGCCACTGGGATTGCCACCACAGAGGAAAACTCTAATTCTCCTCCACACATACAGCTACAGGAGCATTCTGGACTATTTGTAACAAGTCATTAACCCAGTCCATTTTTATGAGTCCTATCAGTGCATCAAGAACTCAAGAGTAATCCTTTCAAATTGCTTAAGAGGAGTTACATGAAAACGTTGGATTTTTTTTTTTTAAGATTTTATTTATTTATTTGAGAGAGAGAGAGTGAGCCAGCAAGAGAGCACAAGCTGGAGGAAGGGCAGAGGGAGAGGGAAAAGCAGGATCGCTGCTGAGCCGAGAGCACGATGCAGGCTCGATCCCAGGACCTTGGGATCATGACCCGAGCTGAAGGCTTAGTTGCTTACCCGACTGAGCCACCCAGGCGCCCCGAAAACTTTGGATTTTGACACAATATTGAACAAGTGATTAAGTTTGGTGCATACATATCAATTAACAGACATAAAACTATACATAGCTCAAATTTAAATAGTTCATTTCTCATTCATCTAGTAGACTTGAAAATGAAACTGCCTTTTCTAGCAGATACTACCTCAGCTGTTGGAATGGGTAGCATAGTCAGATTGACTTTCTGACATTTAGAGGTTAACCAAATGCTACAGGACGAAAGTCCTCTGCTCTTATCTGTGAAGTTCTGAAGTATTACAGCAGATGGTCCATGATGAAAGAGGCCCCTTTAAAGGAGATACACATTCATTCTGCTGGTCAAATATATAAATACAGTTTATTTGTTTGCTTCTTTATTTCATCATTTAAAAAATTTTTTTAAGATTTTATTTATATATATGACAGAGAGCAAGCACAAATGAGGTTGCGGGGGAGAGGGGCAGAGGGATTGGGAGAAGCAGGCTCCCCGGCTGAGCAGAAAACCGAACTCGGGGCTCGATCCTAGGATGGGGGGATCACGACCATAGCAGAAGGCAGGTGCTTAACAGTCTGAGCCACCCAGGCACCCCTACTCCATTATTTTAAGTTAAGTACTAGTAAAAATATCAAAACCACCAATAACATTTCAATTATGAAAGAAAAAAAAGAATTAGTTAAAATAATACTTGGAGCCTGAATTCTAGTCCTGCCCAGGTTGAATCATGGCCCCACTATAGGGCAGATATATAATCATGGACACAATCCTGCACTTAACCCTCTGAGGCTCATGTTTTTCTCTTCTGAAAATGAGAGATTTGGGATATAGTTAATTTCAACTTGAAAATTCTACTTAATTAATTGAGAAATGTGAGAAGTAAACTTAGAGATTTTTAATAACAATATGTATGTAATTTATCAAGAAAGAAATTCTGGAGAGACATGTTGGACTTGGAAAAAAACTGAAAGAACTGCACAGATTATTTTATATAATCCTATGTTTACCTTTGTGACAGTGATGAAATCTGGTCCGAAAAAGACACTTTTTACACCTTCAATTCTAAATAACTGCCTGTGAATAAATAAGAAATAGGAGATAATAAAATGCTTTATTACAAAAAAGTTTAAACATATACAAAGGGAGACAGAAAAGTAAAAGAGCCTTTACATACCCATCCCCAGCATCAATAATTCATGGCCAGCAATAATCAATTCATGGCCAATCTTGTTCCATCCTCTTACCCTACGATCTAGCAATCACTCTTGGGTATTACCCTAAGAGAAATGAAAACATGCTCCACAGAGACGTGTCCATGAATCTTCATAGCAGCTTTATTTACAAAAGCCAAAAAGAGTATCTGGAAATGCCCATCAACTAGTGAATAACTGAACAGACTGTGTGTATCCTTACAAAGCAGGACTACTCAGCAATAAAAGAATAAACTAGCGATACATGCAAAACCAAGGACTCTCAAAAGCATTACGCTAAATGAAAGAAGCCAAACACAAAAGACTATATGGTGGCATTATATAAAACCCTAAAACCATAAACTGTGGTGGCAGAAAACTCAATAGTTACCAGAGTGATAGATGTGTCAACTAACTTTACTGTGATAAGCATTTTGCAAGGCATATGTATATAAAATCAGCACATGGTATACCTTAAGCTTACATAATGTTTTACATCAGTCATATCTCAACAAAGTTGGAATTCATTGCCATGAAACAAAATAGTTACCAGGGTATGGAAATGAAGAAGATTGAATGCAAAGAGAAATGAGGGATTTCTGCAGTAATCAAAATGTTCTCTATTCTTATTTTAGTGGTGGTTACACAACTGTGTGTATATATATATATATATATATATATATATATACTTTTAAAGATTTTATTTATTTATTTGACAGACAGAGATCACAAGTAGGCAGAGAGGCAGGCCAAGAGAGTGGGGTGGGGGAGAAGCAGACTCCCTGCTGAGCAGAAAGCCCGATGTAGGACTCGATCCCAGGACCCTGAGATCATGACCTGAGCCGAAGGCAGAGGCTTAACCAACTGAGCCACCCAGGTGCCCCACAACTGTATATATTTATCAAAAGTCTGGACTATACGCTTAAAACTGATGAATTTCATTTCCTGTACATTATACCTCAGTAAAATTAGTTTTTCAAATCCTCTGAGAGGGGAGGATTATAATTTGAAAAGCCCCTGTAAGGGATTTTGAAATGCACCATCCTTTCCCCATCACTGATGTATGTAACATACCAGAGCAATGTCCTTTTTCCCTTATCCTTTTTAGGAATAAAAGTTGACATATTCCAAAAAAGGTTAGTTTACCTTTTCTTTGTCTATCATTGCCAAGAGTGTTACTGGAATTACTATCTGAATTATTGAGAAATTTGTCTGAAATGATGTCATCTGGGTCCTCTAATTCAATATTAAATTTACAAGAAGTTACAAGGTACTTGGTTACATAATATGATCAATAAACCCAAGCACAGACCTATAAGCAGGTCCCTTGACTGGCTCTATGCATCTGCACTGTTAGCAAAGCTATTTTCTTCACATGAAAGGACCATGCAGAAGAATCAACCTGATCTTTGGGCCATGTCATGGGGACTGCTTTAGGCAAGAATTCATAGGTTCTATGCTTAAAGAAACAAAACGCTTAAAAGGAGTTAAAATGTTATTATATATACTTTGCCACTTAGGTTTCTTTCCTCAGGACAATTTCAACTTCTACTTCAACTTCAACTTCAAAATAAAATATAATACCCAGCAGTGAACACATATCCCAAACATAGTCTGACTTATTCAAAATATGAAGACTATTACCTCTCTTAAGCTGGATACTGTGATTGTTAAAGTTTGACGGCAAACATATCCAACATAGTGAACTAAGCAGTCAGATTCTTCCAACCCACAGCTGAGCTATTCATTTTAAACATTTAAGTCATAAGCCTTAATATTTGTTCCTGTTAGATTTTACCTTACTTGCTTAAATCTATCATTTCGGCCTAATGAAACCTTTAAACATTTCTCTGAGCTTTGCCATCTAACATAGAAGCAATTCTTCCCATCTGGAAACTGATAATTTTATCATCATTAATGTCGCAGGTAAAGAAAAGTATAGAATAAACATGCCAACTAGAGAGATATTACAGATACTACAGAGCCCCTGTATATGCCACTAGAGACAGATTTACACTCTGCTTAAATTTTTTTTTAGATTTTATTTATTTTAGATTTTATTTATTTATTTGAGATCACAAGTAGGCAGAGAGGCAGGCAAAGAGAGGAGGAAGGAGGCTCCCCGCTGAGCAGAGAGCCTGATGTGGGGCTCAATCCCAGGACCCTGAGATCATGACCTGAGCCGAAGGCAGAGGCTTAACCCACTGAGCCACCCAGGCACCCTACACTCTGCTTAAATCTATTCTGTCTTGTCCAGAAGGATAGTAAGAAATAGGTCAAATGCCCATCTGAAGATACACTACTGCTCATTCATTCAATTACTCATTCATTCAACAAATATTTGAAAACTCACTGAATATCTGACACCGTACTAAGCACTAGAGATACAATGATGGGCAAGACAGACGGGTCTCTGTTTTCAGGAAGCTTTGCATTCTAGCTTACAGTAAACATTCTCTGTTCAAACAACAAAAACAAGATTAGTTTTGCCTGACTGAAGATAATAAATTCTGTGAATCCAGGAAATGAGCTACTTTAAAAAGACTAATTTGAAAAGGGCTTTTGCCAACTGAACATCTGACAGAAATAATCTCCAACTCATCTGTAACTGAAGAGTCTTTTTTATTTTTATATACTTTTAAATACAATAAATTCACTTTTGATGTAAACATTTCAAACTATTCATATAAAATGAAAACGCCTCTTGATCACCCCTCCCCCAAATCCACTGTTATCAGTTGGGTGTACATTCTTCCAGACCTTTATGTTAGTGTATTTTTGTTTATTGTGTTTTTTGTTTTTATATAGGTAATAATCATATTATACATAGTGGTCTACAACATGCTTTCTTCACTTAACAGTATTATTATTTTTTTTTTTAGAAGGGGAGAGAGATTGGGGCAGAGGGACAGAGGGAGAGGGAGAGAGAATCTTAAGCAGGTTCCATGCCCAGTGCAGAGGCTGATGTGGAGCTCGATCTCATAACACTGAGATCATGACCTGAGCTGAAATCAAAAGATGGACACTTAAGCGACTGAGCCACCCAGGCACCCCAACAGTGTGTCTTATGACAGTAAATGAGGGTTCTCCTCATCCTTTTTTAGTATCTAAGACTATGGACAAACAAAGTTTATTGAACTTTTCCTACTTAGGTTGTTTCCAACTTGTCACCACTACCAACAATGCTGCAATGAACATCCTTATGTCACCTTGTGTTATGTGGATGTTCTTTTTTTTTTTTTTTTTTTAAAGTTTGATTTATTTATTTGACATAGATCACAAGTAGGCAGAGAGGCAGTCAGGTTGGGGGGGAAGCAGGCTCCCTGCTGAGCAGAGAGCCCAATGCAGGGCTCTATCCCAGGACCCTGAGATCATGACCTGAGCTGAAGGCAGAGGCCTAACCCACTGAGCCATCCAAGGCGCCCCTATGTGGATGTTCTTTAAGGCAGTGTTTTTCAACTCCACTAGTAGCTTATAGAATCAATTAGGTATTGATCTGGATTTTATCTGATAAAATAAAACAGAATAGAATAAAGAGAATTAGAAAGGAAATAAGAATGTTATTTCAAAGGGTGAAAACTGTCCCATTGAATGCATGTGCATGTATCTATCTACCTACCTACCTATGTGTGTATATGTACTAGGTTGTAACATAAAAGGTTTCTTACTGTGGCCTATAAAAAAAAAAGTATGAAAAACAAATGCTCTAAGGCATTATTGTAAGAAGTAGCATGTGTAGGTCAAAGGAAATGTGCATTTTTATTAATGAGAAATTTAAAAAGGGGCACCTGGGTGCTTTGGTCAGTTAAGCGGCCAACTCTTGATCTCAGCTCAGGTCTCAATCTCAAGGTCCTGAGTTCAATCCCCACACTGCGCTCCATGTTGGACGTGGAGCCTACTAAAAAAAAAAAATTTAATTAAAAAAACATTCCTGATAGATGTGCAATTCTGGCTCTTCTAAGTGTGACATATAAAACAGCCGTGTGTATAGAAGTAATTATCTAAGCTTTACTGTCTAAATACCCCTGGCAATCAGTCTCAGGCTTAGGTTACCAAAAACTTAAATTGATGTAAACTGACTCTAATACTTCTTAATATAAATAATTTCTCTAGCCATCATTAAAAAGAAGCTCATTCCAGTAATTTTGTTGTTTGTCCTATATCATCTGACATACATCTAACATGTCTTTAGCGAAATTTAAAAATTGTCTCTGACTTGTTTTTAAAAAATCATGCCAAATCTAATAGCTATTATTATTTATGGTTCTGAGTGCAATATTTTAGAAACTACTCCATTTTGAAACATCTAGAAAAATTCAGCTATCCTTAAGAAAAAAATGAACAAGTTGTCACTGTTTCTTTTATAAAGAGTTTTAAAGATTTACAATGGAAATTTATATTATTTTCATGAATTTTTTAAAGTAAAAATATAAATTCTTATTTAGTCCTGCTATAGATCTTCAATTACTTTTCAGAAGGGTTTCCTAATATTTGCTGTTATTTTTCTCTTATCTCTTACCTGAAAAGAAAATAAAGCATTCTCTACACTAAAAACAACGCAGTACACATAAAAATACAATCACTAAATGAAGCCGCCTTCCCCCCAAAGTCAGTTATTTATGTTTCTTGGTAAAAGCAAATGAGAAATAGTATTATACCTAGCCAGAGGGGAGCGAAATGCTGCAGCTGGTGTGGGAAAATCCATGGTCCTTGTCTCAAGAACTGGTTTTCCTGGGATAAACTTTAAACTGTTGGGATTTGGGGTATCTTGTGTTTGAATAAACATGTGTCTCACTAAAAGAGAAAAAAGAAAAAGCATGTTATTCCAGAAAAAAACAGTGGTTAAGTTTATGAACTATGAAGTGCTCATTTTCAAAGAATCAAAAGATGTAAGAAGAAAGAAAATAAGGCTTGTTGCCCAAGCCAATGAAATAATTTTTAAAGACAACAAAAAAGTTTAATGATATATTTAGAATAACTGCATTGAATTTTATATTACTACTGATTATTTTTGTTATTCAACAGACTCTAGCAATAGCCTTATTTTAACTAGGAAGGCAGATCATCATTCAAGAGCCCTCAATGTATTTTATTTGGTGACCTAGTGCTAATGGCTATCATGATCATAAATCATCACTGTGATATCAAAAAGAGCACAATGTTACTTTCTCTTCTTTCCAAAGTGCTACCAATCTTTTAAAGAGAGATAGATAAATTTATTTTTTAAAAGATTTTATTTATCTATTTGACAGACAGAGAGACACAGCAAGAAAGGGAACACAAGCAGGGGGAGTGGGAAAGGGAGAAGCAGGCTTCCCACAGAGCAGGGAGCCTGATGCAGGGCTCGACCCCAGGACCCCAGGATCACAAGCTGAGCCGAAGGTAGACGCCTAATGACTGAGCCACACAGGTGCCCCTAGAGAGATAAATTTATAATATTAATATTTAGTGTGTGAATACCTACTATATGCCAGAGATGGGGGCTGAGTGCTTTAAATATATTTAAGCCTTTAACAACCCCATGAAGAAACCCCATTACTCCTATTTCACTAATGAAGAAAATGAAGCTTAGAGTTAAGTAACTTGACCAATGGTATAGACTTAGTGATGTTATAAATTATCATGTAAGTGGGAACATATGTGAATTACTTTCTTGAATATTTTTATTTTTATTTATTTACTTGCTTTCTTGAATATTTTTAAATTATCTTTACAGGTTCTTCTTTGTTTCTTCCAAGGCCATGAATAGTTCAAGAACAGATTCATTAAAGGAATAAAGAACAGAATCTTAATTTCCTACCTTGCTATTATGAAAACAGTTCATAGGACAAAAGATAGTAGTGGAATTTTAATGGTCTTAAAACTATTAACGAGGTCCTGATGGTTTATTACAAAAATAAACTTTCTAACCAAAACAAAATAACTCTCATCTTAGAGCAGTATACCTAGATAGATTAATTTATTGAGCAATTGGGCATGATGCTGAGTACTCCCTGTGAATTACATTATTTAATCTTTACAGTCTCCCAGGGAAACACTGTTTTTATCCTGTTTTACAAATGAGGAAACTAAAGCTCAAAGTCACTCAGTAGTTAAGAAATAAAGACAGGATTAAAGCCCTGCCAATTTCCCACATGGACTTGCTTAACCACTATGTATACATACTGCCACCCCATACTCACTAATGCCCAGGATGACAGGAAAATACATTTAAAATCAGTCTTCCTGGGGCACCTGGGTGGTTCAATGGGTTAAGCCTCTGCCTTTGGCCTAGGTCATGATCTCAGGGTCTTGGGATCGAGCCCCATATCAGGCTCTCTGCTCAGCGGGGAGCTTGCTTCCCTCTCCCTCTCTGCCTGCCTCTCTGCCTACTTGTGATCTCTCTGTCAAATAAATAAATAAAAACTTTAAAAAAATAAATACAGTCTTCCTGGGGCACCTGGGTGGCTCAGTGGGTTAAGCCTCTGCCTTTGGCTCAAGTCATGATCTCAGAGTCCTGGGATCGAGCCCCATATCAGGCTCTCTGCTCAGCAGGGAGCCTGCTTCCCCCGTACCCCCTCCTCTGCCTGCCTCTCTGCCTACTTGTGATCTCTGTGTCAAATAAATAAATAGGGGCGCCTGGGTGGCTCAGTGGTTAAGCCTCTGCCTTCAGCTCAGGTCAATGATCTCATGGTCCTGGGATCAAGTCCCACGTCGGTCTCTCTGCTAAGTGGAGAACCTGCTTTCTCCTCTCTCTCCCTCTCTGCCTACTTGTGATTTCTGTCAAATAAATAAATAAAATCTTAAAAAAAAATCATTTAACTAAATAAATAAAATCTTTAAAAAAATAAAATAAAATAAAATCAGTCTTCCTCTCCTGTCATAATCTTCACATTGTATGTCTGAGGAAAAATAGTAAAATATCAACAAGCAACAGCTTTACTTTAAATTAGAAAGAGATTAAACTTGGCAAAATACAGGATTTGTACGGAAGTGATTTCTTTTTACCCATTATAAAAGATTCTAATTTCACAGCTGGGAGCAGTTTTTACACCTTATCAAGAAGCCATCTAACTGATGTTGAGTCATTTCCTTGGTGAAGGAGAAAGTGAAACTAAACTCCCATACATTTTAAGACACTGTCCTATAAATATTATCAATTGGTGACTTGGTGAACAGGCAAATCCTATAAAAGACAAAAATTTAAAAAGATAACCTCAAAATCCAAATACTTGATTTAAAATATTTATACCTGCAGGGCGCCTGGATGGCTCAGTCAGTTAAGTGTCTCCCTTTGGCTCAGGTCATGATCCCAGGGTCTTCGGATGGAGTCCTGCCTCAGGCTCTCCACTCAGGGGCAAGTCTGCTTCTCCCTCTCCCTCTGCCCCTCCCACCCTGCCTGTGCTCTCTCTCAAACAAATAAAATATTAAAAAAATAAAATGAAATAGTTATACCTCCAGTGAATAAATTTCTCTGAAAATCTGTGTTACCTGGGAACAAGTTTTCAGATAGAACATTAAAGAAAGGCCTGCCACCAATTTCTATAAATATAAGACAACAGGTTCTTTTAACCTTGGACCTGATCAAACATTTCTTGAAGCCTTTCTTAATAATTTATGGGTAATCAAAATCTCCACACACATTAAGAACTCTCGCACAGTATTTGAGGAATTAAATCTGGTATTTTTCTACTCAGTCCATTTGTGTAAAACTATACCTGCAGAAAGAAAAGGTTTTAGAAATACTTGAAGGTAAAAACTGTAAATGTGGGGTGTCTGGCTGGCTCAGTGTGAAGAGCATGCATCTTTTGATCCCAGGGTCATGAGTTTGAGCCCCATGCTGGGTGTAGAGATTACTAAAAAAAATTTTTTTAAAACTACAAATATAAAAAAAATTTGAGAGCATCATCTATATATATTGTCTGAAGTAGAAAATATATGACATCATGACATAAACTTTCTCTTTTGACAATGAACAAAGCTATTTCGAAATAGTAATCTGACTAGGTATTAACAAAATCATTTCAATTACAGTCTAAGATGGGCTTAATTAGGTATTTCAGAAATGACTCCCAGGTCCATCATCCAAAAAGATGCCCCTGAAAGTGTCAGCAGGGTTCTAACAAAATAGAATGATCTAAAATAATTTTTCCCATTATGCTTGGTACTAATAAGTAACAGGTTAATAGAGAGGCAGAAGCTTCCCCCAAAATATACATTGGTACTTAAAGTCAATATCAAAGACTAAGATCAGTGGGTTTCCAAATTGAAAGACCTGATGACCACATAATCCCATCTCACAAAATGTAGAAGTCCAATTAAAGTAGCTTAACTTGCTAACTCAATATTTATGCCTAAATTTTTAGTCTGTGATTCAAGGAGCCAGGCAAGGGTTTCCTCTTTTTGCCCTGGTACACAGGAGAGGTAAGGTCTTTACCCTGATCCAACTCATGTGGTTAGCCAGAGTCAGCCACCTGCCAGAATATGGCCACAAAGTGTTTAAGCTGCTGATGGAAATGGGAGAGGGCCCAAGGGCTGAACCCAAACTCTTACAGCTCCATAAGCACATATAGGCAGACATTTACACACAGACACACAAAGACAACTCCTAGGGTTCCCTGATCACGTGACACTGGTCATCTTTCAATAATGTCCAAATCCTATCTTCATACCTACTTCCAATATTAATGAAAATAAAACCATGTACTCAACAGAATTGTCAACAAAAGCCATAACTAATTAATTTGGGCCCCAAAAAAGAAAAACTACATCGAAAGTACTATTTTCTAAGGCTTGGACAAAAACTAGAAATTTACTGATTTTAGGTGTATTCGTTTTTCCTTTTTTTTTTTTTTTTTTAACAATTACCTCCTTCTTCTTCTTCTTCTTCTTCTTCTTCTTTTACAGATCTTTCTTATTTATTCCAGAGAGAAAGAAAAAGAGAGAGCATGAGCAGGGGAAGGCAGGGGCAGAGAGAGAGGAAAAGGAAGAGGGAAAAACAGACTCCCTGCTTCAACAGAAGCCCAAGGACCCTGGGATGACCCAAGTTGAAGGCAGATGCTTAACCAACTGAGCCACCCAGGTGCCCCTTTTAGGTGTATTCTTAACAAAACAAGGAGGGCAGCAGCTTAAAATACATAGCGTTTTCTTTAAACAAACCCATTTGTAACTTCTTTTTGTAATATTTTCATTTGAGAAATCAATCTTGAGCAATGTTCCAGAAGATGTTATTCAAGATACTGAGATTTCATAGGCCTATTGGACACTATGCTCAGGATTCTTTTTTTTTTTTTTAAGACTATTATTTGAGAGAGAGAGAGCACATGAGCGAGTGTGTGCAAGTTGGGGAGGGGCAGAGGTAGAGACAGAATCTCAAAGACTCCCCACTGAGTGAGGTGCCCAATGACGTGGGGTGGGGCTCATGGGGCTTGATCCCAGGACCCTGGAGATCACAACCTGAACTGAAACCAAGAGTCACATGTTCAAATGACTGAGCCACTCAAGTACCCCTGTGCTCCAGATTCTTGAAATCTAACGCCAAAATATGTATAAAATAATTATAATAAATGTTATGACACAAAAAAGTGCTGTTATTTTTATGTACCTGAATGGAAAATTTACAAATTCTTATCTTTTATGATCCAGCAAATAGTATACAAGCACAGTTTCATTAGCTTCTGAAACATAATTTGTTCTAAAAGGTAAAATTTTACCTGTGTTACATAAGGTTGCAGGCAGTGGGAAAAGTGGCTTATGTACAAACTGATGCAGAAGCTGTTTCTTAATGGTGTATGGATTCATCATAGGACAGAATCTATATTTAAAAACAAATAAAAACGACATTTCAAGAGAGAATCTTTTAAGCTCAATTTCTACTTCACATATATAACAACAAAGCTTAATGTCATTCTCTATACACATTATTTCCACTTCCTTAGGCAAGCAATATCTGCAAACAATTTAAAAACAATGGCTCAAGTGGAAATTTATACCCTTGATAACCAAGTGTACACAGGATAGTACAATATCCAGCGTTAAGAAACAAAAATGCAACTACATTTGTGATTTACAGCCTGGATTCCCAGACTCTTAGCTAGTTCTTTGCAGGAAGGATGCAAAGAACTACCGTGGCTTTTTTTTTTTCTTTGTAAATTTAAAAAAAACTAGGCAATAGAGTCACACAGTTCAAAATTCGAAGGGAACAAAAGTAAATACTGTGCAGTCTCCCTCCCTTTTCTGTCTCCACCACCATATTTCCCAGGAAAGAGAGAACCAATACTGCCTGTTTTGGTTTTGGGTTTTTTTTTGTTTTTTTTTAATTTTTTAATTTTTTTTGACAGAGAGAGAGAGAGAGCACAAGTAAGCAGATAGAGAGGGAGAAGCAGGCTCTCCACCAAACAGGGAGCCCAATGTGGGACTCCATTCCAGGACCTGACCTGAGCCGAAGGCAGCCGCTTAACCGACTGAGCCACCCAGGCACCCCAATACTTCCTGTTTTGAAAGGTATTTCAATACTTCAAAAACTCTAATAGAAAGTGTACTGTTCCCCTCCAAATTGCTAAAAAAAAAGAAAAAAAAAAAAAGCCAACAATCTATATATGCTTTTTGCCTGGAAACGTCTTAAGAGTGTTTTTAACTTTGGTTATTTCACTGTAACAGAGAAGTACTGATTGGCTATTTTTTCATGGCTTTGACAAATTAAAAATGAAGGGAGAAGGGGAAAGGAAAGGGAAAAAAAATTCACTAGTGAAAAATTTTAGAAATCTGATGCAAACTACTTTAAAATCCAGGTTGCTTTTTTTTTTTTTTTTTTTTTAAAGTAGGCTCCACACCCAACATGAAGCTCAATGTGGGGCTTGGAAGTCAGGACCCTGAGATCAAGACCTGAGCAAAGATCAAGAGCCAGATGCTTAACCAACTGAGCCACCCAAGCACCCCAAAATCCAGTTTAAAATACATTGCTATCATTACAATTTTCATTTCACATAAGTCACTAAAGAATTTTGAATACATATGATCACTTAAAAACTTTCTGATTACTTTTATCTCCAAAAACACTAAGGAAAAGGAGCATCTGCATTTCTGTGACCCTCAGCAGCTAGAAGCATGGCCTCAGTTCCTCGACTTTACAATGAATATTCATAGCTACCTTTAAGACTGGGCCAAAGAGTGAACCAGATAATCCATGTAAAGTGCTTAAAACAGTGCCAAGCACTTGGAGCAAGAGTTCATAAATATTAGCTACTAGTATTATTATGTGATAGGTGCCCACTAATTAATTACTGAATGAAGTTTAAGGTTTAGGGGGAAAACATTTTTATCTACAGCTCAATGCCTAAATCCGGACTACACTGGAATATGGAAATACACTGGAGACCAGTATTCTCTTCCCTTCAGCCCAAGGAAGAAGCACCAGAATGGATGAATATGGTACAGAGATGGGTTTAAAGTGACAAAATAGTGAAGGTGAGTTGCATTATTCCAATAAGACATCTATCCAAACCTAACAGAGGGGGCCAGGAGGTGACTAACAAAAAAATCTTCCAGCAAACTTAAATGCATTTACACTTCAAGGGCATCATTAGCACTAAAACTCCTTAATATTCATTAGGTGAAACCCTGTTAGGCCCTTTTGTCCTTTTGTTCCAGAAGCAAAATCAAGATACAGCACCTACTTAAGTCATCATTCCTTATCACCTAACCAACACTGACAGATGTCACCAGGAGGCCAGACTCAAAGGCAGCTTGCACAGAAGAGGGGGAAACAAGAGAACAGAGTGGGTTTAGGGGATGGGGAGGAAATCCAGGGGTCTGGATTCTCATCAGAGTGCCATCATTTAAACGTTGTGTAACCTCATACACGTCGCGTCCCCTTTCTGGGCCTACTGAGAAAAGGAGGAAATGAGATGAGGTATCCACTCCCACTCTGCAGACATTCTGATTTGTGTTTAAAAAGCAGAGGGAATGCACATGATGGAAGCGCTGGAAGGGCCACACGATTTTTAAAAAAACAGCTCCCCCGTGGGGTGTCTGCAGCCTGGCTTTGCGGGCCTCCCGCCCGTAGGGACTCCGGCGCCGGGTTTCAGAGCTCCGACCAGGCGCTTGCAGATCCCGCCCGAACTCGGAGCGCCGAGACGACTCAAGGATAGCCGCCCTCCGCAGGGCGAAACCCCCAACGGCAGGGACGGGGGCGGACCCGAAGGCTCGGTAAGGGGCACTTCTCCCCGCCCCCGCTTTGCTAAGCCCAGCGGTACCCCGGTGCGGAGCTCCTAGCTCGTCACCTACCGCCTACGCAGCCCCGCAGCAGCAGCCGCCGCTCCCCAGCGCAGCCGGGCCGCCGCTGCCATCTTTGTCCGAGTGCGCAGCCGTGGGGGAGCGCTCCCGCTTCGCCGAGCGGCGGAAGCCCCGCGCAGGCGCAGGCCGACCGGGAGCCGACGGGCGGCGCGGAGAGTGTACCCTGCCGGCCGCGGGCGGCGCTGCTCGCGATGAGCCTCAGGGGCAGGCGCCCCGCGCCGTCCACCTTTGCCCACCTGCACAATAAGCCTGCACCAGGGCTGGGGGAAGTCCAGGAGACGTTTGCGCAGGCGCCCTCGGTAAGACACGCGGGACTCGGCGCGCAGGCGGAGCGCTGCATCACCTTTCCTTCTTGATGGGTGCTGTACTTACAGGGATGAAGGCCGGCAGGTGGAATGCTGTTCCCCACCCCTAAACCAGCCACAGGGCCGCATGGAGGATCCTAGCTCGCTCTCCAGGTCCAGCTCAGTGGCTGCTTCCAAAGACTCCCTGGAGCATCTCCTTGGCTCTCCTTTAGCCAGCAAGATGCCTGCCCTTCTCCCGTGGGGCTGAGGTGGATCTGTCTTACCCTTCTGTTAGGCTGTGCTTGTAGACCCTGTCCTCTTGGACCGACCTCCAAGGAGGACTCACCTGCGGTGCTGCCCTTTGCTGTCTAAGCATGAGTGTTTGACTAGTTTCCAGAGCGAAGTACAAATAATTCTTCCAGAACTTTTCTTGAATATTGCTCTTTCTTGGGGGCAGCCGCAGATGGGGACACACTGGAAACGCAAATTAGCGGGCCCCGCCGTAAACCTACTGAATCAGTCTCTGAAGGTGGGGTCGAGTCATCCTTTGTTTTTAAGATTTTATTTATTTCAGAGAGAGAGCGCGATCGAGCACGAGGAAGAACAGACCCTAATAATCCGTTTTAATACTACCTGCAGGAAAATGTGAGAACCACTGCTCTAGAAGGTAAGCACAGTACTGGTTTCTGGACTTGAAACAACACACCTGTTGTTGGATAGATTGAAGACACACCCAATATAACCCTGGTGGTTTCTGTGGCCCAGAGAAGTGTCTAAAGGGGGGTCGGTGCGGGTTGCAAGCCTGTGCAGGTGTGGGCTTGGACACTGAGCAGGCCATGGCTCCTGAGTACAGTTACATTCTGGAGGCTCTTCCCTACAGAACCAAATGGCATAAAAAGAGTTTTAATCTTTTATTTGTTTATTTTTTTAACATTTTGTTTATTTGAGAGAGGATGAGAGGAGGGGGGAGGGTCAGAGGGAGAAGCAGACTCCCCTCTGAGCATGGAGCCTGATGTGAGCCTGGATCCCTGGGATTACAGGATCATGACCCCAGTGGAAGGCAGTTGCTCAACCAACTGAGCCACCCAGATGCCGCAGAGTTTTAATCTCTTAACACTTCTAATCTTTAGTTTTTCACCTCTCATTCCTGAAACCACACTTCTCAAATTATTTTTGGGAATAATACGTCCCAAATTATTTCCGACCTCAGGGCCTTTGCATAGATTGCTCCCCTTATGGGGAATACCTTCTCCCCCTGCCAGCCTCTTTTTTTTTTCCTCTTCCCCTCATTTTTCCTTGAATTGCTCCTATTAATTCCCCCATGTCTGAATATAAGGTAGGGATATTCTCCTTAAATATCCTACCTTAGGGGGCCTTTTCTAACACCTCTTTTCATCCCCATCCAAATACTCTCCTTTGTTATTCTATCTCAACATACCCTCTCCTGTCCCTTCATTTTACATTGTCTCAAGTTAAAATCACGGATTTGGGTGTTAATTTTTCTAATGACCCTTTCCCCACTGTATCCTAAGACTTATGAAGGGTATGTCTGTCTCTTTACTCTCGTACCCCAGCAGCACCTACTGTAATACCTGGCTCATAGTAGGTGCTCAACAAGAAGTAGTTGAGTGAATGTAGTCACCTCAACCCTTCTTTCAAATCCAGGACATTTGTTCACTATGTGTGATGACCGTGTGGACAGCAGAAGGAGAGGGCCTGGCCTCATTCACCCCTTAGCTGGTGCTATGCCAAGGCAGGGTGTAGCATCTAATGGAGAGGACTATGGCCATTGGCACATGAAATTGGTGTGAAACAGCCTTCACTTTTTTCCCCAAATATACTAGAAGGAGGGTGACTTTTTTTAGGAAAGAGTCAAACTACTACTTGAGATATCTGGGTCTCTATTTATGCCCCACTCCTTCCTCTTTCTCTCTCTGTCAAGTACACCATGCTTGTACACACACACACACACACACACACACACATTCATTCACCATGATAACTGATAGACAACTGATATTTTCCCCAGTACTATTTCAATAAGATGTTGGCTCTGTTTTAATTCTTGGCTAAGAAGATTACCAGACCATGTGACATGGACCAAAAAATCATTTATTTACTCATTTACCATTTATTCAATAACTATTTTTTAAGCATGAAATCTTTCCATTTGCAAGACACAGATGGAGCTAGAGAGTATAATGGTTAGTGAAATAAGTCAGAGAAAGACAAATACAATATGATTTCACTCATATGTGGAATTTAAGAAACATAACAAGCACAGATCAAAAATAAGAGAAATCAGAAAGTAGATGCTTGGGACGCCTGGGTGGCTCAGTTGGTTAAGCAGCTGCCTTCGGCTCGGGTCATGATCCCAGCGTCCTGGGATCGAGTCCCACATCGGGCTCCCTGCTCAGCAGGGAGACTGCTTCTCCCTCTGCATCTGCCTGCCACTCTGTCTGCCTGTGCTCACTCTCTCTGACAAATAAATAAATAAAAGCTTTAAAAAAAAAAAAAAAAGAAAGTAGATGCTTAATTATCGAGAACTGATGGTTACCAGAGGGGAGGTGGGTGGGGGATGGGTGAAATAGGTGATAGGGATTCAGGAATGCACTTGTCATGATGAGCCCTGGGTGAGGTATGGAATTGTTGAATCACTGTATTGTACACCCAAAACTAATACAACACTGTATGTTAACTAACTGGAATTAAAATAAAAATCACTTAAAAAATGATTTTAAGGGGCGCCTGGGTGGCTCAGTGGGTTAAAGCCTCTGCCTTTGGCTCGGGTCATGATCCCAGGGTCCTGGGATCGAGCCCTGCATCGGGCTCTCTGCTTGGTGGGGAGCCTGCTTCCTCCTCTCTCTCTGCCTGCCTTTCTGCCTCCTTGTGATTTCTGTCTGTCAAATAAATAAATAAATCTTTAAAAAAAATGATTTTAAGATAACTTTTAAAATTAGTTAATTAGGGGCACCTGGGTGGCTCAGTGGGTTAAGGCCTCTGCCTTCGGCTCAGGTCGTGATCCCGGTGTCTTGGGATCGAGCCCCGCATCGGGCTCTCTGCTTGGCAGGGAGCCTGCTTCTTCCTCTCTCTCTGCCTGCCTCTCTGCCTACTTGTGATCTCTGTCTGCCAAATAAATAAAATCTTTTAAAAAAAAATTAGTTAATTAATTTTCAACATTCATGTGTAATTAACATACAGTGTTACATTTGTTTCAGGTGTACGATGTCAGGATTCAGCAGTTGTACACATTACTCAGCCCTCCCCAAGATGAGTGTACTCTTAATCCCCTTCACCTGTTTTATCCATCGCCTCATCTACCTCCCCTCTGGCAACCACTACTTTGTTCTCTATAATCAGGAGTCTGTTTTTCTGTTTGTCTCTTTTTGCCTTGTTCATTTGTTTTCTTTCAATAACTGTTGAATGCTTTCTGGATAGCATGGTGCCAGGCACTCGCTTTGTCTTAGGCATTGAGGCAGACGATGCTGGTTACCTTCCAGTGTTCACTTTGTCCTTCTTTACTAGTCAACACTGACCTTGCTTAGGTGGCAGTGTGTTCAGTCTAAGAAGAAGAAGAATTCCCCTAGCCTCTCGTGCAACTACAGCTTGTCATGTGGCACAGTTCCATCCAATAAGACAAATGTGGAAGATGGTCAGAACTGTCTGAGAAGGTTTTGCTTTCCTGCCCTCTGCGCGGGTCCTTCTTCCTGCTTGTGTCAGAGCAGGAATGCTGGAGTCAAGGCCGCCATGCTTCAACCATGACATCCCTGAGGCAATGAGCCAACAACCACCAGCAGCCACCCTCTTCCAGACTGCTTAGGGCATGAGAAAAAAATCAGCCACAGTTTTGCTGATGCCACAGGTTAACCAGGTTTCCCGTTACTCAAGAATGATCCAAATCCCTGGTTTGAGGATATAAACATGAACAAAATAATTTGTAGTCTCAAGGAGCTCCTAGAGGAGAGACATTGGAAATCAACACAGGCAACCCCAGGGGACAACATGCTCCACAAGGGCCCACTGGTGGCAGGTGGGAGAAGTGAATGAGGACTTAGAGGTAAGAGGAGAGCCCGAGGAAGGCTTCACATAAGAGGAAAGTCTTGTGTTGTGTGTTTAAAGAAAAAGAAGTGTTAGGATGTTCCAGCAGATGCTGGCAGCACCGTGCAGAACCAGCCTACTAGCTCCAACTCCTGGTTCTGCTGCTCACTCGGTAGCCTCGCTGCATGTGAACTGCAGACAGGCATGCAAGTTTATCTTTTTGATTTCGTTCCCAGTGCCTGGCATTTAGGAGAGGCTCAAAATATACTTGCTGAATTGAGACCTCTCTGAAGTCCCATAGAACCCAAGGTGTCCCATGGGCACCTTCTCCCATATTTTATTTCATGGTTATGCTAATAATTTATGGCCATTTACCCCCTCTAGAAAGCATATGGCACAAGGGGGCCTCCATTGGTATCTGAGGTAGCTTGAATGCCTAGAACGGTGCCTGGCACACAGTAGGTACTCAATAAATTCTTGTTGAATGAATGAGCCCCAAGTTTTCTCATCTATAAAATGTAGACAACTATAGCTATCAAAAAGGATTGAGTGGATAAGAGAAAAATGCATTTCAAATGTCTTGCCCTGAACTTCTCACATGGGTAGCTGTAACGATGCTTTTGTCTTCTCCTATAAAACTTGGAGACCCATTCCTAACACAGCTACAAGCAACAACACCTGAGGTCAGCAGCATAGTCTGTTCTTAGAACTGAGACTGGTTTGAGCATTTCTGGGGGCCAGTGTGGCACTTCCAGCCTAAAGTACTGAAAAGTCTGCCAGGAGAGAAATGGTCCCAGGAAAGAATTTCTCTTTGGGGGAAAAGTCAGTATTCACGAACTTGATTCAAAAATCAGTGAGCCCTGCTGCTCAGACTGTCTTTGGCCCAATACCCATAGATTCTGCTTGAGGTTCAGGAATGATGACCCACAAAATAAAAGGGCTGTTTTGTTAAAATATCCCAGACTGTGTGAGCCCTGGGTTCTGCTGCCTTATTAGCAAACTGCAGCAGTTGCTGTCTGGACAGGAGAAGTGGGAGGATGTGACACCATGGGTGCCTTGGCCTTCTGGGGCTGATCTGGCAGCAAGTGGCAGAGCAGTTGAAGTAAATATGTAAATGATAGCGGAAAAGAATCTTGTTCCAAGCACGTGTGATGCCAGGAATAGCTGGGAAGAGATGAAGTCACTGGAGTCTCTACAGAGAAGGTGGGGACAAGCAAACATTGTATTGTGACCCTATTTTTCCCAAGAGATTGGTTATGGTCTCAAGAAATGTTAAACAGGTGACAATAGAGATCATGCCTTCTAGTTACCTAATTACATACAGTTCTCTCTACACTCTGGTTTGTCGCTTAAGAGAAAAAAAAATCTGTTCCTTTCTCTTAAAAATTCTAGAATAAACTTTTTTTAAAAAAAGAGTTATTTATTTATTTATTTGACAGAGATCACAAGTAGGCAGAGAGAGAGGAAGGGAAGCAGGCTCCCTGCCGAGGAGTGAGCCCGATGCGGGGCTCGATCCCAGGACCCCGGGACCGTGACCTGAACTGAAGGCAGAGGCTTTAACCCACTGAGCCACCCAGGCACCCCTAGAATAAACATTTTAAACACAGAAGTCCCTGGGTGCCTGGGTGGCCCAGTCGGTTAGGCATCCCACTCTTGGTTTTGGCTCAGGTCGTAATCTCAGGATCATGAGATGAAGCCCGGTGTAGGTCTCCATGCTGAATGTGGAATCTGCTTAAAACTCTGGCTCCCTTTCTCTCTGCCCCTCCCCTCTGTGCTCCCTCTGTCACTCGCTCTTTTAAATAAATAAATAAATCCTCTAAAAATAAAAACAAAAGGTCCTACTTTATTATTTCCCCAAATCACCCTGGAAGCCTTGGAACTCCTCTGCTATTTTATGCTCAAAGGCTTATGCCAACAACCACCAAAACCTTGGCTTCCTTCATCACACTGCACAGGTCTGCTTTGGCCTCCAAAGCCAGGAAAGAGTCCTTAGATTTGTGCTCATTTGGGTTTGTTGTGTACACAGAGCCATAGGAACATTGCCTCTGCCCATGCAGGTTGTGCTCCCCATGACCCTAACCCCTGCCATAACCCAGGCTGTAGTGTGGATCATGAGCCCTGAGGTTGTACCGCATCAGAGTCCTGGGTCACAGCGTGTGGTCTGCGACTTCTATGGTTTTCGTGTTTTGGATAAAGCTTCAAAGTCAAAGACATTGGGTGATATGGGCTTCAACATTTTAAAGTGATTTGAGACAAGCTTCCTAAAAGATTCAGGAAAATGGTGACCACCTCTTAAGCCCCTCCTGGCTATATAAGATGGGCCAACTGAAAATCCTGTGTGAAGGCCCCAGGGTGCCTGCTACAAGAGGATTGTACTGTCGCATTCACTGGGTCCACGCTTCCTCAGCTATAGGAACTCGAGGTCTGCCTCCCCAGGTACCAGGGTAAAATATGGGAAGGGAGTCCTTGGAGTATCCCCCCAGGGATTTGGGGGTGAAGCGTAAAGATAGGAGGCTAACCAAAGCACCCAGGGAAGGAATAGGGGACCAGCTTGCACTCATGGCATTTGGAGCGACAAGGATGCAAGACTTTCCCATGCAACAAGGAGATGTTGCAGAAGCGAGCCAGGCTGAACTGTGCTGGAGGGCTTCTGCTCACCAGGGTCCCCAGGAGGGCAAGGGGCTCCAGCTTGCCAAGTGGGGTATACCACCAGCTGCAGAAGGGGAGAGGAGCGGGCTCCACAGGGAACCCCTGCCAAGGAAAAGGACTGCTATATGCACCATGATCCCAATGCCCCTATCCTGCCCCAAACTGCACGAGGCAGATATAGAAGGAAGCTGGTCCCGGAGCCCAACCTAGGAAAAGGAGGGAAGCTCTGAGGCAGATGTGAGATGGAAGCTGTGAAAACTTGGTTAGGTTTTTTTAATACTTGAGAGTACTTGGAAAAGGAACTAGAAAGCTGTGGGATCTGCAGGAATTTCATTAAGGATCACATTTAAGCCCTTTCCTGAATTCTTACCTATCTTACTGAACTCAGTCTATTTAAAATACTGGTTGCAAATATTTTAACAATTCCCTTTATTGGCTACTCCAAACTTAACGCCTTGCATCTTCATTCGTAGTAGATTTTACTTTGCAGAGAAAAAGAGGACTTGGTGGTGGTAGGGGCAGCAGTGGGCTTTATAACTGGTCGGAACCCTGCCTGGACTCACACATTCACCTTTTCCTGCTGAAGGCGTCCACCACATATTGCTGAGGAGCTTCGCTTTGTTTTCTTTTTCTTTTTTTTTTTGAACTGCCCTCATCTACCTGAAAGCAGAGCTTCCCAAAGAATCCATTAGTTATAAATCGGTCCTGTCTCCAGGAATTTAGCAACCACAAAAGACAGACTCCTATCACTGGAGAGGAGAGTTTGGCTCAGGAATAAGCAATCACCTAAACATTTTCACAAAATTGCCATTTATCTTTTCCTAAAAGTCATTTGTTTTCTTAGGGCGCCCTTCTCCCCACCCCCTTCTCTTATTAAGATGGTATATAAACCCAAATTCTGCCTCCTTGAGTCATGTTTTTCTGTGAATTCCTATGTGAGTATATGAATAAAAATCTTTTTTGCTAATCTGTCTTTTTGGCAGTTTAATTTGCAAGCCCCCATGAAAAGAACTGGGAGGGTAGAGGAAAAGTTTTTCCTCCTTGACACTGCATTAATCTTACTGCCTTTCTCCCATAGCAGGAGAAGAGGCATTTTCCTTACTCAAAGCCAGTAACTTCACCTGTGTTCAGGATCCACCCCACTCCTTACTCCCCCTGCCAATTCCTTAGGGACTTTGCCCAACTTACTATTTTTTAAGTAAACTTTTTATTCTAAAGTACTATTGGGTTTACAGAAAAGTTGCAAAGACAGCGCAGACTGTTTCTATGTATCCTTTAACCAGTATTCCCTGCTACTGATAGCATCTTACATCACCATTAGACCTTTGCCAAAACTAAGGAACCAGCACTACTATTTACTACAGCTAAGGAACCAACATCATCCAAACTCCACAGTTTATTTGGATTTCCCTACTTTTTCCTCTAATGCTCGCTTTCTCTTTCTTTCTTTCTTTTTCTTTCTTTCTTTCTTTCTTTCTTTTTTCTTTTTTTGACAGAGAGAGAGAGCACAAGCAGGGGGAGTGGCAAGCGGAAGGAAAGGGAGAAGCAGGCTCCCTGCAGAGCAGGGGAAGCCAGCCCGATATGGGACTCGATCCCAGGACTACAGGATCATGACCTGAGCCCAAGGCAGTGGCTTAATCAACTGAGCCACCCAGGCACCCTCTAATGCTCTTTTCTGCACCAGGATCCTATCCGGATATGTTACACTTATTTGTCATATCTCCTATCACCTTCCAGCCTGTACCAGTTTCTCAGACTTTCCTTGTTTTTGATGACTTTGACAGTGTTGAAGAGTGCTAATCAAGTATTTTGTAGACTGTCCCTCAATTGGGATTCGTATGATGTTATTTTCTTGGTTAGTCTGGGATTAATGGGTTTTGGAGTGGAGGACCACGGAGGTGAAGTACCCTTCTCATCACATCGTATTAAGGGTACACATTATCGACCTATTACTGTTGACGTTAACTTGACCATCTGACTGAGGTGGTGATTGTTAGGTTTTTCCACTGTAAAGTTACTCTTTCCATCTCCCCATTCCAGACACTATTTTTTGGAAGCACAGCCAACATTCAAAGTATGTGGAATGAAGCTCTACTTTGGAGGCAGGAGGGTCTACATAAATTAGTTGAAATTCTTCTGTGTGAGAGATAGGTCTTGTCTTCCCTATTTATTTTTTCAATCACTTATATCAGTATGGGTGGTGGATGTTTACTTTATATTTTGTTATAATCTAGTATTATGTTATTTATTTTGTTGATCCCATTGTTCCAGCTTTGACTACTGGCAGTTCTTTCAGGCTAGTGCCTGTGTCCTTGTGGTAGTTGCTTTTGTATTTTTGTTGTTGTTGTTTAGCACTTCTTTGCTTTCTAGCCGTACAAGATACCCCTAGTTCGTTTTGTGTATTTCCTGCCCTCAGCCATTTCTCCATGGAGCCATGGTTCCTTTCATTCAGAAACCAAGATCTGGGTGCTGGGCGTGCTTGTTATCCATTTACTTCTCTCTCTCTTTCTTATTCCTTCAACTTCCTCTACTCCCTCTCTACAGGTTGTTTCTCCTTAGCTGCTAAGGTAGGACCGTATTCAAGTGCTTCCCTCATTCTTCCTTCCCCATCCATGTCCCCCACTAGTAAGCTCCCTAGTTCTCTTTTCATTTCCATTTAAGCTCCTGGCATGGTCACATTTTATATGAATTTGAAAATGTAACACAAGAGATTAATAAAGTGTCAACTCTTACACAAAATATGAAATACATGCAAATATGAAAAATGGTCAGGTACAGCACAACTTCAGGGCTGGCAGTCTGAGGAAACTGTGCCATCACCACAGGAGTGGGCCGAACAGACATCACGGACACGGACAGAGCACCCAAAGTGGGCGGCTCTCCCGAGTCCAACTCCTGACAGTCTATGATGTGGGCATTTGCTGTCCTCCCTGTTTTACAGGTGAAGAAACAGATGCAGAAGCTCAGTGATTTATTCAAGTTGACACAGGTAGGAAGTGACAGACAAGGGACATAAGCCTCAGCAGTTGGAACCCATCTTCCTCACCTCCACTCCTCCACACAAGACACCCATTCCCCTTTGTCAGTAAGAACACCACTGTTGTTAACTTGTGTCAGAAATTTGGGGAGTGACTTTCGTGACTGGTTTCCTATTGCTGCTGTGACAAATTCTCACAAACATGGTGGCTTAACACAGCAAACTTACTCTCTTTCGGTTGGGAGGTCTGATACAGTCTGGTACAGGTGCAGGAAGTCTGGAGTTCATTTTCACTGGACTAAAGTCAAGTTGTCAGCAGGACGGGTTCCTTCTAGAGGCTCTGAGGGCGGAATCTATTTCCTTGTCTTTTTCACCTTCTAGTGGCTCCCTGTATTCTTCGGTTTTCTCCATCTTCAAAGTGACACTCCAGCCTTTGTGTCTGTCACCACATTGCTGCCTTCTCTGACGACTCCTGCATCTCTCCCAACAGGAAGCTGTGATAATGTTGGGCCCACCTGGAAAATCCTGAATAGTCTTCCCATTTCAAGATCCTTAATTTTATCACATGTGCTAAATCCCTTTTGCTAGATAAGGTGTCCTCCACAGGTTCTGGGCATTTTATCATGGATAATGTCAGAGGCACTACTCAGCCATCACAGGGACTACTGGTTGTTTTGTTTTGTTTTGAATTCACTGATAGAATAATGTAATTCTCTTTTCCTAGGCTACAAATGTCATCTAAACATTTGTTCAATGATGTTACTAGTATGAGAACTGGAGGAAAACAACACATTCAAAACAATAATATTGGAATGCAAGTTTCATGTAATAAGGTATGGAAAAGGCTGTTGGGTTAAGAAAGATGAATCTTTTAAGTAAACCAACATAGTGTGTGTGGGAGAACGGGGGGCCTCACTGGTGTTCTGGGAAGGAACATGCATCTGTGGTATGCCCTTAAGTTGTGGATTATTTAAGGTCCTTGTATAAATTGGAACCACCTTGTTCTTCAAAATATAGCCTGCCTTCTTTACACCCCTCATTCCTCAAATCACTACAATATGCCCCACAACTTTACAGAAATTTCTCTTGCTGAGGTCACCAATGGCCTCCAACTGACAAATCCAAATAACGTTTCTCTCTCTTTTGATTTCCCTTTGGCATTTAAAACTATTGACCAGGGGCGCCTGGGTGGCTCAGTGGTGAAGCGTCTGCCTGCAGCTCAGGTCATGATCTCAGGGTCCCTGGATAGAGCCCCGCATCAGGCTCCCTGCTCAGTGGGAAGCCTGCTTCTCCGTCTCCCGGTCCCCCTGCTTGTGTTCCCTCTCCTGCTGTGTCTCTCTCTGTCAAATAAATAAATAAAATCTTTAAAAATAAAAGAAAAAGAAAACTACTGACCACTGCTTATTCTTGAAAGTTTTTCCTCTCTTAGCTTTGGTATCACCCTTCTGTTTTTCTGTCTACCTTTGTGGTTCAGTTTCCTCCATGGCTTTTTACCCCCTACCTATCCTTTAAATGTTGTCATTCCCAAAAGATTTTGTGAGTGCTCTTCTTAGTCTACATTCTCTTCCTCTGATCTCACCTATGTCCAGGACTCACTGATGACTTCTCTCTACCAGCAGTCAAGACTTCTCTCCTGATTCATGCTGCTAATGGCCATCTGGACAACTTCACTTCGACCGCCCACGGGTAGGCACAAGAAAGACATTTTGAACTACTGTGGCTGTTTCACTCAATGTTTTTGATCACATATTTTAGCTGGGCTAATATTGATGAACTTTCGTTGAGAAACTCCTTTCAGCAACTCCATTAAGCCAATTTAATTTTTGATCAATTTCCTCTGCAATATATTTCCATTTTGTTGTAATTATTTTCATTGGGATCCAGTTTCTTCTATATGTTTTATAATGGAGACTGAGTCAATTTTTGGTTCATTTCAAATTTTACCAATGTATCTTCTGCTACTAAGTTCTCTTGTGGCTACTTTTCAAATTTCAAATTTCAAGTTTCCTAGTCAAAAATTTCGATTTAAACTTTGTCAAAATTTCATTCTTCCACCAATTTTTAATGATGTGTGGTTTTAACAGATTTGAATTTAACTTGGACTAAGCATTTCTACCAGTAATATTGATTATAAACTAAATAAAGATCGACAGTTTATATTTAATTTTTTGTTCCTCTGTGAGAAAACTGTCATCAATTTCCCTCTGATAACTTAAGGTTTTTCTGAAGAGTAAAAACAGAGTCTGTCCTTGAGGTCAAAGGTCCTGCTCAAAAACAGGATGTTCCTGGGGAGATCTGGTAGAAATACTAATTTTTCCATATGTGAATTGGTGAATTCCCTATCTAGTGATGATCTTGGTCCTAAAACCTTGGTGCTAGAGAAGTGGGCCACTTTCTATAGAGAATATTTGCACTCCTTTTGGGCCTCTGAGCTAAGCTTACATAAAAGGTTGAATGACTTGTCTTCTTCCATATAGATTGAGATGCTAACTGAAGCCCTCTAGATATTACTACCCCAATTTAAGAAGAGGTTAACTCAAGGAAAAATTCTTAAGATGGAAGGAAAAAGATCTTTGTCTCCAAATCCGAAGGAAAGTTCTAAATCATCTGCTCGTGGCTTTTCTCTGGGTCACACTCTGGCTCTTCTCACTTGGTTGTAAATTAGGGAGTGATCTAAGGACACCTCCTCCCTGGCTGGTCTCTTATTAACCAGTCTTGGGGTTGGCAAAAATGAGCCACAAAAGGGTAAATGCAAACGATAGCACCCTGTGGGAGCTGGAGCTGCTAAGTTTGGCTCTCCCTACAAGAAGGACAGAGCTAAGTCACTGAAGGTGAATCTGTCTGCATTTGCAGAAGGCTCTCATTCCTGCGTCTACCTCAGTGGGAGTGATGCTTCCCCCAGAGCAGTCCAAATCACAGACAAGGAAGACTGTATTCTTGGTTAACGATAACTTGAAACAGAAAAAGCACAGGAACTTCACATTGTAGAATGAAGTGGGGCATATATTTAAAGATAGATGAATCAGATCTTAGATAAATCTTTAGTAAAAGGAGGCAACTTTGGCTTTCCTCATGTATATTATACCAGAACTCTCTGGAACCCTGGGTGAACACCATTACCAGCTTGAACTTGGACCTGAACTCAGCCCTCTACCAATTCTCCCTGAATGATGGAGGTTAAAACTCATTAAAGCCCAAATATTACTGTTAGTTTCTCAAATTTGGAGAGGAAATAAGCAGGCAGGTTCTCTCCCACACTATGGATTTTAAGATTCATAGGTATAATTCATTTCTCTCCAAGACTTTTGGCATGTGTACTTTGTGTACTTTTAAATTTTATTTTAATTCCAATATAATTAATGTACAATGTTATTAGTTTCAAGTGTATAAATTAGAGATTCAGTAATTCTATCCATTACTCAGTGCTCATCAAGTTAAGTGTACTCTTAATCTCCTTCACCTAGTTCATCCATCCTGCCACCTACCTTCCCTCTGGTAACCACCAGTTAATTCTCTATAGTTAAGAGTCTGGGTTTTTTTGTTTGTCATTTCCAAGACTTCTCTCTTTAATTTGTTATGTTAATGCTGGTCTCTCTTTAGGAATTTTTTGTTTGTTTGTTTTTAAAGACTGAATTCCGGGGGTGCCTGGGTGGCTCAGTTAAGTGTCTGACTTTGGCTCAGGTCATGATCTCAGGATTCTGGTATCAAGCCCCCATGTAGGGCTCTCGACCCAGCAGGGAGCCTGCTTCTCCCTCTCCCTCTGCCTGACATTCTGTCTGCTTATGCTTGCTCTCTTTCACTCTGTCAGATTAAGTAAGTAAATAAATAAAATCTTTTAAAAAAAGACTAAATACTGATGCAGATCATACTCAGATTAACATATTTTAGGAGCTCACAGTGAAGTTTACAATAGCAGGGAGCTCTTTGGTTTCCTCGCCTCAGTCTGTATGGCCCTGCTGTCTTTTATTATTCCATTTATGTCTCCAGGTAACATCTAGAAGGAAAAGTAGGTCTCAGGAAGTAACAATGTTGGCATTGGAAACCAACCAACCAACCAACCAACCAACCAACCAACCAAACGTTCTTTGAAACTTAAAAACACAAAACTAGGCTTGGTACTATAAAAGGCACTCATGGAACCCTTCAATCCTAGGAAGATCTGACTTAAGAAATAATACAAAATATAAATCATTTACTTTTATTAGGTCCATTTTAATAAAGTGTATAAGAGTTTACAACTCAAAACAATTATTCATAAAAACTATCCGATACATAAGATAGATCACACGAAGAGTGCAATAACATAAATCCAATAGTCTGCAAATAAGAGGTATCGCAAAAACTGTTAAGATTGACTTTATAAATGTCTTTTTCCCTTCCTTTCCCATGTTCACAGCCCTTAAGATTGTGTGCACGTACTGTTTCCTGGGGTCTGATGACCGCAGTATTCCTCATAGCTGGGTTGACCCCCTCATTCAGTCAACTCAAAATGTCTTGTCAGCAGAGTTCACCTCTTTTCCATGGAAGGAGCATTGTCCTTGGCCATCATTTGGTTTCTGTGCCCTAACAAATGACAGCATTTTCTCTTTCAAAGGAACATCTTGCAGGCCTTGTGCTGTTCTGGTCACTACTGTAGTCCAACACCACACATGAGCCAGGGATTCAGGTCAAACCCTACTGAGGTGCATCCTTGTGGACGAGAAGAGCATGCTTACTGTGGAAACAGGCTAAGGCAATGGCTGACTTTGCCCACCTCTATCTAGAACAACTCCAGTTCTCTGAGTTGTTGGCAAATGGGGCTGAATTCACTCAAGCCAACTGCCTACTGTTACCACTTGGTATTCTTTGGATGCCTTCATAAGGAGGTTTTAACACCATGGCAGAAAGCATGAGGACATGGACACACGGACACACACACACACACACACACACACACACCCTCTCCGTTCACAATCCTCAAACAGGAGTCTTTGATAGACCCAGAGAATCCAACTGTTTTGCCATTTCAGAGTGAAAAGGCTACAATGTCTTCGCTCACTCCCAAGGTCTCACTTTATAACGGACATTGTTAAAAACCATTTCTGCAAAAAAACCACAAAAGCCATTTCTGCAATTCCTTGCCAAAAGGAATCAAACAGATCCCTTTAACACATATATACAGTTCTCGCATAACGCAATGGAGAGAACTTTGACTTGATTTCAAGAACATTACTATAAACTCTGAACAGTGTCACCCATATTGAGACTGCCGGGAAGTAGCTCGGACTAAATTTCTTGCATAATTACAAGTTCTGGGAATACTAAACTAAGCCGCCGGTGTGCTGGTTAACAGTTAGGTATTTTTACAAGCTATTCCAGAGTCCTTTCATACCTAAACTTACCCCTGCATTCTGGGGCACATTGCGCCTGGGTTAGATCATGATGGAGAGATGCCTTTGGGTTGTGTCTCCAGGGTAAGGTTGGACCTCTGCCAACTTTTCTTCATCTGTTCTTCTGGTCCATAAGAAATGGGGAAGGTGAGCCATTTCACTCTCATTATTCCAGTGTGGTGAGATTACCATAGGTTAAGCTGAAACTTGGGCAGAAACCGTTTACAATAACAAGGCACATAAAAATTGACACGATCGTCCAGTCATACCTCTCATCATTCATTTATTGGTATGGTTGTAGTAGGGGAATGTTAAATGAGGAAATGAAGTGGGAACAGGAACAAGGAAGGTGAGCCAGAAAGACCTGCAGGAGTAGAGAAGCAGCAGGAAAGAGCTGTGTCTGGCAGTGTTTTAGTGATGGGATGTGGGAGACCAAATGAGAGGCCTGTTTCCTAATAAAGGTCAAGGTACAAATGAGGCAGGGAGGACCAGGAAGTGAGAGAGCAAGGCGGCACCTGAGGAATCAAGACACTGCCAGTGTGGGTTCTCACATCTAAACTGAGGCAGCTAGTTGTTTTCAGCAACCTACAAGACTCGTTCTGTAGCAGAAGAACACAGGAACCATTCCCAACCAGATACCACTTCTTTTTTTTTTTTTAATTTTCAAGCACCTTGAAACCTTTAAGTGAACTTCACAAGTCTGCAAGTGTTCTGATGGTTTAAAAAAACAAAACAAAAACCAAGTACTTGTTGACTAAGGCACTGAAAAATGAAGAATTTAAAGTACATCATTCCATTTAAAATCCTCATGTTTACACTCCATCAAGCAGGACTGGATTAGAACCCAGGGGTGACTCTGGGCATTTACAAAGTGCTTCTACCTCTTTAGAAGCTGCAGTCTTTCCAGCAGCAATCCTATGTACCTTTTATCAAAATGATCCGAGTTTCAAATTTCTCAGATAAGACTGCATCTATGCGGCCAGCAGCTACTCCAGAGTTGATTGGTATGTGTTCTCCAATTTCAATTCCAAAGACACAGCGGATAACATTTTTCCTTATTAAAGGCACCCAAGTTGACTCCATTTTAAGTTGTTTCCTTCCTGCTAGAGAATGAGTTGGATCTCACCCTTGTGCAGTTTCCTATAAAATCCTATTTGATAAAATGCACACTTATTATATGACATATGTTCTGATGATTTTTCTTTATCAGCGTGATTGAATTTGTATTGTCAGGTCACTCTGGAGATTACATTTAAGTAAAACTGAAATCTCCTACTTTATGAGTCACTGAAATGTCCACCCAATAGTTTGAAACACTGATGGACCTATACTCTAAAACTTACTACATAAATAGTGGGCCAAAAAGATGCTGGTATTTTTCTCGAAAATTTCAAGAAATGTTGGTTGCCAAATTAAACTGAGACCTAACACAGGCATGTGGACATGTACACACATCTACACATACCAAATTATTTTTTCAATAATTATGGAGCCCAAAATGACATTGAATTTATGACCTAGATTCACTGAGGTCCTGCCCAGCATCTGCTTCTGCACCAAGTTTTTGTTCATTCCATCTCCCAAGCTAACAAGGACTG